GAGAATTATAGTTCAGTGTTTTTCATACAAGTGCTGTTTGGGGCATACTTAACCAGGGAAAGCAAGGAAAGAAAGATCTGTGGGGACAACTAATTCTGCCCAGGATAGCGTTAGTTATTTGGTTTGAAGAAATAGCTGAAATATGGTGCATTTGTGTCAGAACCCAGCATAGTTATTGTACTGCTTTTATCTGCAACAAATTATTAATGAAATCACAGAATGGCTGAGATTGGAGAGGACTTCTGGAGGTTATCAGACATTTATACTTTAGGTGCTACATTATAGTTTCTTTCCTTTGACTCGTACCAAGAGCAGGTCTGGGGCTGCTTCTCCTGGTGTGCTGATATTCCCCTGTGCACTGAGCGAAAGTGAAGGCATAGTTACAATATAACATTTCTCTTCCAGATTTGCTTGGAAGTGTGGCGCAAGCGTCAAGGTTGTGGGTGTTATAACAGGATCTGTGAACATGGGGTACGAACAGTTTACCTCATACTAGATTTAAGAAGTAACAGAAACACAGTGATTTGGACTCTATCTGTCCAAACTTGAAAAAGAATAAACTTGCTACAAAGTGGAGTTGTTTCTGCATCCAAAGGATAAATTACTGTGACACATGATGCCAGCTTTACTTTTAATAAAATGTGTGTGAATACAAATTGATTCAAGGCAAGCTAACTCAGCTGGGAGCATAAAAATGTGGTCTTACAGACCTGGGAGACACTGACACCTTTCTGCTGTTGTGCCCCAAGTAGTTTTTCCCCATCAGTATGTTTTTCTAGTTGCACTTTTAGCTGCTTCCCAGAGTTTATGCTGAGCAATTCCCGCTGAAGGGCAGAAAATAGCACTAATTACATTGGAATCTGATATGCCTGTGTTTGCAATGGTTATGGAAGATTGAAAGTGGAAAGCCTTAAGAATTTCTGGGAATTTGCTGGGACTTCCCTAGTTCATAGTTACTCTTGTAATCGGTTCCTCTCCCCTTTTCTTTTTTAACCTCTGAATTTTTATTATGTTTTGCTTTTTCCAGAAGCTTCTGAAAATGGCAAAGTGTTATGTTTCGGTTCTCCGAATCCAGCATAGGCTTGTGCCAATGAGCAGGATCAGCCAAATTTGTAGTCTGGATGTCGTTGCGGTCGCTGTTGGCATAGGAAATGTTCTTTTTTAAAAACAAAAACAAAACCAAAACCAAAACCAAACACACAAACAAAACCAAAACCACAAACAAATAAAACAGAAAAAAAGAAAAATGCCTGACTTGTCAGATCATGTCCTACAGCCCCTGTACCTCTTTTTCCTGCTTTCTGACTTGCCGTCTCCCACCCTTCTCCTCCCGTTTGCCCCATCTGCCCGTTTCTGATTTGGGCAAGAAGCAGGACATGCTGTGACTGATTTAGAGCACGTGCTGGGTTGCCAGCTGGCTGCTATCTCTGAGCTGTTAGGTCAGCCAAACAGCACAGATAAGGTCTGAGCTGTCCTCGCTTCTTCCCGGTGATGTTTCACCTCTACTCATTTGCTGTGGGGTTTTCCCCACAAGATTTGCAAAATCTTAAATGTACTTAAGATCGCTATACCTTCCCTCTCCTTCTGGACGTGGAAAGCCAGAGTAAGAACTGATCTGAGATGTTATTAAAATAGTACTAGTAACTGTTGCTGAACAGAGTGGTTTATTGTGCTTGAATATATCATTTAATTATTGCAGATTCTGTTCTTTAAAAAACAAGCAAACAGAAGCCATAGTAGTATTGGACATAAACTGATGGTCTCAGCTGGGAAATGCTGTGTTTTTATCTGGTGTTTAAATTGTGCCTGAGATCTGTGAAACCACTAGCATTTTTATAGGAAAGCAAATGTATCCTGCTCAAGAAGCGTATACTATGTAAGAGCTAGCTTAAAAAGAAATGATTACCCAGGGCTGCATGGCTTCATTCACTCTCAAAACAGCATACAATATTCACTTGGCTGCAAGAAGTAAAGTAGTAATAAATGTAGGCAGTTGGTTTAGAGTATTCTCTTTCTCCTTTTTTAATTTTAGAAACCCTGGATACATTAGATTCCCTCTACTTCTGTTCAACATTGAGTTGAAAAAAGATAAAAGAGGGGACTTGGCGAAAGAAAGTCTTGTCAGTTTGGATTCAAGTGAAAATATGTAGCTGAAAACATCTTAGTGACGTCCTTCAGTAGCTAAAAGATAAGTTGTCCCTTCCTGTCCTGGACATTTCTGCTGCATTTGAGATAGATGCAAATTATTATTTGTCAGCCAAGGAAGGATAGCAAGTCCTGCCTGCACCTCTGACATGGCCGCGTCCTTGGGGGAAACTGCTGGGTAGCCGTTGGATGGGTGCGTTAAGAGCCTTGCAACGATCATTTCGCTGTGCGCTCCTTCTTGCTTTCTACCTTGCAGACACTGGTTTGGACATGGGTTTTGGTGTGAGCAGTTTGCAGATGACACAACTGTACGTGATCTTTTCTTTAGAACTACTTGTGATTCTTTACTATTCATTACAATTACAAGTCGTCAATAATAGGATCCTCTGGATTTTGCTGATGCCAGCTTTATCCGTAGGAAACGTTCTTTGTATACATTGCTGCCATTTGTGTTTTGTTGTAGGAGATACTGCCCTGCTCTATAGGTGATGCTGCTGTTTGCTGTTTGCCTTTTCATCCCTTTTGAGATGGACTGTAGCAATGCACCGTACTTGGGCATGGAGCCTCCTCTGAACACCCAGGGCTTCCAGGGTGTGCTTGTAGCTACGCAGGCTGCTCTGGGTGCTGGATCCCCATGATCTGTTCATTTCCCACGGGATTTCGAATCAGGCTGAAAATCTTTTCATGGGTTTCTGGGCCCAGCTATTGCAGCAGGCAGCTGCAGCATTAATGGGTTCATATGTGCACAGCACGATGCTGCGTAATACGGTATGCACCCTTAATGCTTTCCTTAGGGAAACTTTTGTCCGATTTATTCTCTTGGGCCAAATTACACAGAACAAGCTACAGCTGCAGATAGCTGTGCTGTATCCTAAATGCGGTGCGCTGGGTTTCTTACATGTGGGGCTTCCATTTGCTCATGTTTGGATTAAGCAAGGCTGCGAGACATGGTTTTGTGTGCTTGTGCAGCTCTTTAGAAAACAATATACTTAAATTAAGACTTTTAGTCTGAACCAAGCTTGATGATTTACATAGCCTTGCATAATCCATCCTCTTAAAATTGTGTATGTGATAGAATTTCTGAGATTATATCCTTATTGCTACTTTAATCCAAATAATCAATAATACATCCTGTATCGAGGGCTGGAAAGATCAACTGCATTGTTGCAATATAATCCTGCCTTGGAACTGGGCTGGGAAATATAAGCATAACTGCTTGCTGAATTAAGAGCAGCATCACATCTCTGAGTGCTAAAGTCAAACTCAGAATCCGGGCTTGCTATTCGTTTCTATTTTACAACAAGAATGATCTTCCTGTAGGAACAGGAGTAAACCTGCCTCGTAAGCACGAGCACTGCTAAAAGCCACTTGGCAGTTTCCAGTGAAGTCCTTCAGCAAAATGCTCCACTAACATTTCAGAGCACAGAAAGCCAACAAAATGCTCTTAGGTCCCTCTCAGAGTAATCCAAGTGGGCTTGCTGGTGTCTTCTCTGTCTGGATCAAAGCCCTGGTGAAGGAGATTCCCTCAACACACCTCCACATCTACAACCCACCCAGGAGCAACAGCAACAGTCGAGAGCCTGCACCAAGCATGCTGCCAAGGACCTGGGGAGAGCTTTTGTTCACACTTAGCCAGCTGGCAGGGGGAAAAGGGGTCACGTTGTTGTTGCTTACTTGAATGACCCTCTGACATGGCTGTCATGGGGTAACCTTGACTTAAATAATCATCCTGTGTAGCGGGTCACGCCGACTGCTGTCCAAAATCACCGTCGTTCCTGTTATGTCAACCAGATATGTGTTTTAGATCCAAGCCTGAGTGAAGACGGATGATAGACTTCCTTAACAAATAATTATTTTTGAGAGACAATGCTGAGAAATTACTATTTTAAAAATCGCTCTCAACCTATATGAGCAGCAAGAACTCAGAGAGAGTAATCTGATATGGCTCCCGTGTCTTTCTCCTGCTCTGTTCAAAAGAAATCAGTGATGCTTATCACAAGGCTTTACTTGTTACTGATGTCAAGAGCTTCCTAATCTCATTTGGAAGGACCAGGACAAGGAGAATATGTCGGTTCTTCGTTGTTGTGTGTTTGCTGCATTTCTCCAGTCTTCTGTATGTGGGAGTACTGTGTAACCTGCTGTCGGGGCATTGACTGATGCTGTGCTGTTATTTTAAAGGTTGCTCCAGTACTTTTGTACTTGTTGTTAAAAAACAAACAAACAAAACCAAAACCCCGAACAAACTTTTAAATTATACGCATAACAGATTAAAGGAGTTGCTATTCTCTGCTCATTCTTTTAGGGAGACAAATGTTTGCTCTCCTGTCCTAGCAACCGTGAGAGAACTCAGTTGGGCAAGTCCAAGGATTGGACTCTGAAATTTACCCTCTTCAGTAACTCTCCTGAAGTTCCTGTTCAAGTGGTTTGGGAAATTTTGGTGTTGCTTGGGTACTTTGTTTTTAAGAGACAGTGGTACCCACAAAGCTAGAGAGAGGGAGGTGTCACATGAAAAAAAATTACACACTGGGAGAGAATGAGGAAGAGATGGTGGCAGCATGAGGAAAATCAGTGGCTTTGAATTTAAAATCAACTTATTCAGAGCACCATCTCAAATCTTACTCCTGGAAAGAGATAAGTGTTGGTTTATAGAATGATTTGGGATCTGTAAGCAAGGGGAAATCTGAGAAGAGGTATGAACTTTTTAAATACAGCATTCCAGTGATGAGGTATTAATGATAGAATAATTAAGGCAAAATCACTACAACTAACAGTCTTTGGTTTTGTTTTGTCTTTCTTTTCCTTACCCTGACCCTGTACCAAATCCTTTCTGCTCCTGATGCTTTGGGGAACCGTAGGACCCAACCAAAGGTAAGGGCTTTTATTGCACGTTAAATTAGTGTGTGAAAATAGTCATATTGCTTATTCAGTCTTGAGTTTTCCAAATATTGAAAGCATTTTGAGAACCAGCTCTGTAGTTGATCAGCTGTTGAGTAAGAAACTCAAAGCATCTCCTTGCTGCAGAAGAGCACTGTACAGCCTGTGCCAAAAAATGAGTCACAGGAACAAATGAGAACATACATACTCAGCATTACAGGCTGTGAATGGAAGACTACTTGTTATTTGTGGGCTTTTAAAAGCGTTTTCTGGTATTTGTGTTAAAGCAAACTCATTTTGTTGTTACGGTTTATGATCCCACAGCTTTGTATTTGATATGAAGACATCTATCTCTGCTCTAGCATATCAGGATTCAGCTTTATTGATGTGGTCATATAGCCAGTGATGTTTTATTAAATGCTCTGAAGGCATGGGATGTTACAATAACGTGTTTAATTGTATAATAAATTCAAAGAACCAAAAAGCCTTATTTTTAAATAAACAAGCCCTTGTTTCCTCAATTAGAGGATGTAAAATAACCACTTTTATTTCTTTGTGCTGCGACATTAATGTACTATAGGAAAAAAAAGCAATGTATTTTTGAAGATAAGTGATTTAAATTTCAAGAATTTTGCTGTGTTAAGCATTTTCATAAATGTAGGTGGTAAGTTTGGATGTGCTGGTAGTATGGATTTTCAACTCTTGCATAATTTTTCTAATTATTTTAGTTTAAATACTTGAGGAAGATTTTCTTTCTTGCTACTTCGCTAAAATGGAACGTGAAAATGTGCCAACAGATAAAATGAAATTATCAGAAATAGTCGAATGAGGGTGCAGAAGGTGGATGTGAGATGCTGGCGTGGTGTGCTTGCTCTGCCAACATGATCTGAAATGATGCAAACGTCAGCTACGTAGCAATGCAGAACATCTAAAGGGAAAAAAGCAGTCTTCATTAAAAGAGCTACACGTTGCACTTCCCTTTTCCTATATCCTACAGAGTAAATTTTGCCCATGTGAATGTAGGTCAGATATTACCTTGATTTTTTTTTTTTTTTCCTTGCAAATACCTACTCAGGGGAGTTGTTTTTGCAAACATCTGTCCCAAAATATGTGCTGTCTTATTGGAGGTCAGCTTTCCATCCTTTAAATAGATTTACCACAAAAATGAAACTTTTCCATTAAAAAAAATTATAGTGCTACTCTTCTCGTGATAAAATAATTTGCTCTACATTGTTCTTTACAAGTATTAGACTTTGGTGATGACTGCCTCTGTTTGTCAGCAGAATATAAATACATACTCCTCTTGTACGGAAAGAGGTTCCTACCCTAAGGCATGTTTTTAATTTATGCAGACAAGAGACATGAGGAGATGGTAGGCAGAAACAGCTAGGGGACATCTGTCAGTTTGCAAAATAGAAAGTCTTGTGAAAAATGAATTGCAAGGAAGGGTTTAAAGGAAAATAAGAAGAGCTCCTTGACGTCCACTCGGTTGCCACATGGAGGGCTTTTGTAGAGCATGGAATAGGATTCACACAGTAGAAAGGAAGAAATAGAAAGAAGGAACAAATAAAAGCAAGGAACAGGCTTGCATATAGGAGGATGCAATGTTTGTTTAGGCTTCAAACTCATAGAAAATAAGGAATTCTGCGGGAATGTGTATTATGTTCAGAATGGCCCCAAGGAGCATGATGTTAGCCAACATAATAAAGTGCTGTCAAAACTTGGTTTTGTTTGATTTGGCAACAGTTTTTATAGAGTGTCCTCCTCGTTGTTTTCCTACAGGTGTTTGCTTATGATCACTGCTTTTGGTCTATGGATGAATCTGTCAAAGATAAATATGCAGGTAATATTTCCTGTAGCTTTGTGCTTGTTGTCTCCAAGTGCGAATGATCTAATTAAAATACAGTATTTGCTACAGGGCACAGACCATGTGGCACAAAGTGCCTTCCCCTGTATGACTGCTTGTTGTCAAAAGAAAAAGGAAAGTCTTCAATCATTCCTGTTTCTCTTTTCTAAAGATGATAATAGCGATAGACATCGCTACCTGTTTGCAGTGTAGGAAATGGAGAAATTGGTCACAATAAGGGGTTACTTATATTTACATCTTTATTTATAATACTGTTCCAAGTCCAACATTTTAAAAGCATCAAATCCATTTCTTCTCAGGTTTGAGGAACATTGCTGTATGTAATTTAGTGTTTCACAGTGCTGATGGGAGTCTGACATCATATTAGAACTTAATAATGGAGTATTAAAAAAAGCCTAATTTAATATAGGGGTATGTGAATTCATATGGTGTGATGAGAATATGTAATGCATTTAATTAAAAGTTTTCTGTGTATTATTATGACACATTTTGACTAATGGTTATGGTAAAATATGAACTGTATTTGGACTTACCACTCTTGTGATCTATTCCTTACATACTTTTATCTCTTAAAATTGGGAATCAGTTAAGCTTGTTCACATTTATTTTTTAAAAATTCACAAGAAAAATAAACGATGCATATGCTTCTAGGTTTTAATTTCTCTAACAAATAACTAATGAGTAGTAATTTAGTGTGGACTTGAGAAAACCATGAGACTTTACATAGGAAGGTAGATTTTTTTTGTTTCTCAAACTAATGGAGACGCCTATGTCACTTACGTTATGGTCTGTTATGTGTTGAAAGTGTTTGGTTCACAACCATTGTAGCTAGGCACAACTATTAGTAATTTTGATGGGGAATGTTGTGTGCCTAAAATTCTGAGTGGACTTGCGTGTAAAGATACAAACTTGAATCAATGAGACAAAGGAAAAGCTTTCAGGAACGTTAATGTATTTGAGAGGACTTTTCAGTCTGTAAAGTTCTGCCATGTCTTGTTCAGACTTTAGTTCCTCTGCTTGTAAAAGAAATTCTGAAAATGGAGGTTTTGTTTAAATAGGTAATATCCAAATATATTAAGCATTTCTTCCTCTGCTTGGAAAAGGAGCCAAAAAGCTGTTCCTACAGATTTAGTTCAATTACAAAAGAAGTGATATACCCTGTATTTTGCTAATGTATGTCTTCTACTCTAATACCTCCCACATAGCTGTGATTCCTTCTCTGCAGAAACCTCCTCATGGTAGTATTTAGTACCTTGTACGTATACAGTAAAATTATCTAGTGCTCTACTAATTGCTCTAGAGTAAAATCCAATGGCAGTTGTGAAAATGTATGGGTTGAGTGTATCTTGGGTGGTGTCATTCACCAGTGGATTAAATTCTGTAGCTGGTGGTAGATTTTCTGCTGATAAAACTTCTGGGTATGAACATTGATAGGATGTTGTTGTAAGTACATACAGGTATATGCATGGTAATCACAGCTTCTGATTTTTACAGCAGCGTAAATCTGGAGCATGCCTACTGGCTGATGGTCTTGCTCCTGTACAGGGAGCAAATACTGGATGCTATTTAGGCAACAACAGCAGGAAAACACTAACTGCTTTTACATAATTATTTAAAAATCCAAGTCAAGGAAAAAAAAAATATCTCTTGCTTTGTTATGATGTTAGCTTGTGTGTTTTATTTCTTAGGTCAAGATGTTGTTTTCAAGTGCCTTGGAGAGAATATTCTTCAGAATGCCTTTGAAGGCTATAATGCTTGCATCTTTGCCTATGGGCAAACCGGTAGGTCCCTTCCGGACATAAGCAAAAAACACTGTTGACCTAAAAGGTGTTATGTTCCCACGGAGACTCTTTTCATGGTGGTTGTGACATTGTTTCAGGAGAAATGCCTTGTAATAGATAAGAAATGTTTTTCTCTTTTGTAACATTAGATATGAAGTGGACAGGATGAGAAATGGGATTTTGTCTGTTGTTGCTGGCTACCCTTATTTCTCCCGCCTTAGATTATAATCTTTGGAATGATTGTGATTGTCCTTGAGTTCAGCATTTCACTCATATTTTCTGCATCTGCAGTTAGAATAATCTTTAATCATCATTTTAAATGTAATATGCAAAAATGAGTATGCTTGTGCAATTGATTTTTCTCATTGTGACACTTGTGGATGCTAGTGGGTAGTCTTCTATGGTATGACTGTATCTTCCTGAGAAAGTCTTCTCTGTCAGGTTGACCTAAGTTTCTTTTGCTTTTCCTTTTAATTAAATAGTCTTTAGCTAAATTGTGTTTTGGTTACTTTGAAACAGAAAACTGCACAAATATCTTTCACTGAAATGCAAATTTTTTTTTAACCTCTTCTCTCTATTTACTTTCCATGTTCCGCAAAGCAAGACACTTTGTTGCGTGTACACTAATCATAGATTCAATCACACAGGATCTGGAAAATCATACACAATGATGGGCACTGCTGACCAGCCTGGATTAATCCCTAGACTTTGCAGTGGACTCTTTGAAAGAGCCCAGAAAGAGGAAAATGAAGAGCAGAGTTTCAAAGTGGAAGTATCCTACATGGAGATATACAATGAGAAAGTCAGAGATCTTCTTGACCCAAAAGGGTAAGTAATTTGTGTGGCAGCAGCACTGTAATATGTTGTCATACACGTTCTTTTTCATAACCAGTTTACCTTAATGGATCCCATCTGAGGTATTTGCGTAGGATGGCTTTTGCTTCTTCCTGATCGCATTGTCCTTTCGTTTTAAATCAAAATAAAGTGATAAGACTAAAAGCTTGGTGTAAGCTCACCCTAATGCTAGCTTTTATGAAGTGACAAAAATGTCGATGTCAGCATTTTACGTGTAGACATAAGGCTGTTTTGTTTGCATTATAGTCCTTGTTCTGTACTTTATTATGGTATTTTGTAAAAGCATCATGTTTGAGATCTGTCAGTGAGAAATTGACTTTCTATAAATGTTGTCTTCAGTCAGTCATGTGCTTATAAATAACTTTTTTTTTCCAACCAGAAGCCGTCAGTCATTAAAAGTTAGAGAACACAGTGTTTATGGTCCTTACGTAGATGGCCTATCTAAGCTAGCTGTTGCTAGCTACAAGGTAAGGATCAATTTTATGAACAGCTTGTGTTGACATCCTAAACACTAGGATACTGTCCCTTAAGCAGGGCAAAATTATTAAGCTACCCCAAATTGCCATGGCAGTAATGTGGATTTTAGAGCAAGAGAGCTTCAGGATTGTTGTATTGTAATCACCGAGGAGAACAAGGTTAAGAGCAGAAACTCATCTTCATCCTGTACCGTTCAATAATTCTGGAAGTAATTCAACTATTTAATGAAACAGCTTTCCTCCCAAACTTAAGATAAGCATGTGCTGTATCCATGAAAAAGCGTTCTGTGATTAGTTGCAGAACCAGGATTTAGCAGAGACGAGCTTTCAGTACCGCACCTGGTCACTTTTTGGCTGTCATGCTATTGCATGAAATAGCCCCTGATGTAATTTCACTTACCAGTAGCACACGAACACACTGGAACTGTAAACTAATGGTTGTTTGCAAGGCAAATACTTGAAAATGTTGAGTGAAACTTGTTTGCTGGATAGTAAATGTTTATATGTGCATTCACAAAGTGCCCTAATTTTTAAGAAGCGTTAATATACTGTAGGAGAAATGAGAAAATATGGGATGGAATTCTGTCATCTTAAGCAAAACATGAAAATAGTGCAATCCTTCCTATTGCAGTTTCTCTAAGTATTCATCTACCTCTTTGGTGGTTTCTGTTAAGACAAGACACGTGGCGTGCTTTTCCTTTACATGTTGCCCAGCAGCTTTGTGTGATACAGCATACGGAGTGGTCTGTGGTGGTCTTTTGTTTCATTGTTTTTTGATTATTTTTTTTTAGCATCATCCAGCTAGATAGAGATGCATAAGTAAAAATTAAGCCCAAGACTCTATAAAGTTTTAACTATTTTACAGGGTTGCTGTAAAACCCTGAAGCAGGGGAGCTGCATATTTCTCAAGTATCACAACTTCACGTATCAGAGGACTTAAGCTCTTATATGTAGGAGGACTATAACGACCCGTTCGGTGTGATTCTGTTTTATAAAACTTTGAGCCTTGTGTCAGTATGACAGATTTCAAGAACATGTATTTGACAGCTGAGTCTAAAATATTACAGTATTCAAACATGAATTGCTGTTTCCTCACTTTTTTCTTTGCTTTCGAGTATTGCTATGTGCAGCCAGGTGCATTATTTTTGTTGATAATTTAATATCTAGGTAAAGGTAATGGATGAATATGCATGTCACAACATTGTGTAATTTCTAGTCTTTAAGGGGGAGATCACAATTTTTTTTCCTCACATTTTATGAATAAACAGTGGGAAACTTAGTGGGAAAATACTTGGTATATTTTACCAGAATGAGATTGTTTTGGTAGATAATTGAGAAGAACATTAGTGCAGATATGCTTATGGCTGTGAAAACTGTATCTAGGACATCGAGTCCTTGATGTCCGAGGGCAACAAATCTCGAACAGTGGCTGCAACCAACATGAATGAGGAGAGCAGTCGGTCCCATGCAGTCTTCAAGATTATCCTCACCCACACACTCTATGATGTACAATCAGGGGTAAGTAAAACAAGTTACAAGGTCCAAATGTTAGATTTGGATGTGTGTCTCTTGCTTTAATATACTTCATAGACTTGGAGAGATGTTGGTTGGAAGGGACCTAAGGAGGCCTTTTGCTGCAGTCTCCTGCCCTTGTGCACTGCTAGCACTGGATCAGGATAGCTATGGCTTTGTCTGGCTCGTAGTCCTCATAGTGCTCATGTGCTTGTACCCCGATATAAGGAAATAAATTTTAATAGGTTTGTAAGTGAAATGTGTTTTTTTGAAATGGAAAGCAAAAATGCAGGCCCCAAGGTGCAGCAGACCTGCTGGAGGGTGCAGGAAGAGTCTCCTAATCCTAGAATCTAAACTGAATAAACACTTCTTTTTAAGCAACGATGTGTAGTACAGACTTGGAGCAGAAACTGAAGATATAATGTGGAGATGAAAAATAGAAGAACACCTGAGTATACATCTGGTAATCTCCTTCAAGGAATTATGTCATGCAAATATGTATAAATTATCATCTTTATAAACAGAAACACTTTCTCATTTCAAAATTTTGCATTGTATGACATTAATATTTTTATGTACATTTATTAAATACCTGATAGTCATTTAAATCTGAAAGTATTTTTCTTTACATTTCCTTATATGTAAATATTCCTGGGGAAGGTGTGTGGAATACATTAATGTTAATATTATTTAATCCCTCACATAAAATGGTGATAAACTAAAATTGAAATAGATTTCCCATACCAAAGCTCTTTAAACTTTATTGATAGATTCTGTGCTTGGGCAGTTCTTTAATGTCTGCAAAGCCTTGGAGAAATTTTGAGTGTCCACGGAGCAAGTCTAAGGCGTGTATGTGCCTTAGATTGTATATTGAATACAGTGTAAAGCATAATGAGCATTTGGCCTTTCTTCCTCCTCATTTCTCAGTCTCCACTGATCTTCTTATCCAAACAATTTTCCTTGTTCTCTGTTTGGATTTTTTTCCCTTTGCACTTCAAATTAGCAGTCGTACTACACTAAACTCCTTGGTTTGTCGTTCTGTTTTTGCTGTGGCTGTACTGCATACTTATACATATTTTCTGCGTGGTCATGGTCAGTCTGGATGCAAGGTTGTAGTTCAGATTGTCTTTTCTGCATCTGCCAGTGACCACTGTGTGAGTTTCTGGATCAGATTTCTCTGTTTTCCCATCTGCTGGTCCCTTCAGTCCTGGAAATGACATGTTTCAGTATGGCCTGATAATCACACTATGTTTTGAGAGGCTTAGAGTAACATTTTTGAAAGCATATTGATTCCAATTATCCTGCTCATTTAGGGGAACGTAGCGCTCTGCAACTGCGATACTGAGATGCTAAAGTCATAGATGCTGCAGAAGAGCATGATGTGAGCAAAGTGTTCTGAAAGACGGTTAGCTCTTCAACTTCCAATTGACATATGAAATTCATGGAGTGTTTCAGAATGTCATTTTGGGTCAAATGAGATGAAAGGATTTGTAACAAAATCTATGTTACAGATTTAAATACTCGCATAGCTTAGATTGCTTTCTAGGAGGCTGTTAAGGATATAGAAGGCTTTGCAATTGTAATAATTTTCATAAATTATAACATGCTTCTTGTCATGTTCATTCTTAGTCTCTGAAAAACAGAAGAAACCTGGTATAAAATCTGAGATTTTTAGGAGACTGTTTTCAAGATAGGATTGTAAGCCCCACGTCTGTCTTTGTGACTCCTTGGCCTGTACTACCTCTGCATTTTTCTTGGTTTAACATTTTACTAGTGTGCCCTCTGTACCTCTTGTCTGGAGATTTCTGAGATGTCTTGATGGTATTAGTGTATCTGACTTCACTTCAAATCCTCCTGTTGTTTCTGGAGCGGCAGCTAGTGAGTTAACACAAGATACTGTTCAAGTCCGATGACTTTCAGAGGTGTTGGAACAGCTGCAGAGAGTCTACATCAAGAAATAAAGCTTGATGCTTGTTAGAAAATGTGTCAAACTATGTAATAACTTAATTTGAGTGAACTAACAGTAGCTGTTCTCTGGTTCCATCTGCAGACATCAGGTGAGAAGGTGGGCAAGCTGAGTCTGGTGGACTTAGCAGGTAGTGAAAGGGCAACGAAGACTGGTGCTGCAGGAGACAGGCTGAAAGAAGGAAGCAACATTAACAAGTAAGACTGATTTATTTATTTTCCTATTTTATCATGACTGCTAAATACAGCACACTTGTAAAATATGATAAAGTCAACATAAGCTATTGTAGCCAGTTTTCCTCTTCCCTTGTCTCTACTTCTCTTTCTGACATACAATACCCTTAGATGTTTGAATGAGATCTATGCCTATTTAAAATGATTGGCGTTTTTCATTCTGTACTTGTGTTCCTGCAACTACCACATAATTGCATTGTGAAGACATGATTATTAAGGCTGAAAACATACTGAAATCAAGGAGGAGAGCTTTTGTGAGAAAAGAATGATCAAAACTGTACTAGGAACTTTTTCCTTGGAGATCATTTTTGGAAAGTCACTGTCTAAATATGCTTTTGACTTATGAATATTTACACTTGTTAATGGCTACTTGTGTTTTCTGTGCAGATCCCTCACAACTCTTGGACTGGTTATTTCTGCCCTGGCAGATCAGGCTGCTGGCAAGAACAAGAACAAATTTGTTCCTTATCGTGATTCTGTGCTCACTTGGTTACTTAAAGTAAGTACTCTGATCTTGTGGTTGTTTTTTTTTTAAAGAGAAATAAAAGGGGAGAAGAGTCCCATTTGATGAAATAAAATGCTGTTCTTTTATCTTGTTTTCTGGTTTTGATGCTAACTATAATTGTCTTTGGAAAATTAGCTGGATGTAAGCCATTAGTATCTTTACAGACTGAATACATTCCCTGTCTTCTGCTGACCTGTAATGGCCTAAAGAATAAGGAACTTTAAAAAAAAAAAAATCATTATCTTTTATGGGTCAGTTTACATACAACTTCACACACAACCTTGGGGCTAATTTAATTTGGGCTATTGCCCCATGCAACTGAATTTTACCTAATGGCATGGTTAGCTTTGAAGATTTTGATTAAGACTATTACCTCTTCCTAATTGTGTAATATATTTGTTAATATACTCTACTTTTGTCAGCAGAGTATAATCGCAAGCATTATCCCAGTTACAGTCTGAGGAACAGGTCAGAAGACTTTATACATCACATTCGTGTGAAATGAGCAGCTAAATAATTTTCTGTACTGCATAGGACTCTCTTTGGTATTATTTTGGAGGAAAAAAGGGTGTATCATCATGGCCCTTGGATGAAGATCTGTAAGGTCTAAGTGAAAAATCAAATAGTTAAATATGAGTTTTATGTATGTTGCATTAAAAGGCATTTGGTTTTGTTTTTCTTCCCACTTCCTAGATACAGTGGCCGTAAAGCATGGTAGCCTGATGATGAAAAATCTTGAGAGTACAAGTTTGATTTTAGGTATAGTGGTTGTCTGGATTTCTCCCATTCTCTGAATGAGTGGCAAGCACAAATGTAGCTGCTTCTATCTGTAAAAAGTTTGCCTGCTAGTAAAGGTGGCTTGTCTTTCTTATCTTGCCTGGTACGGCTTAAGTAGTCTTGGTTGACTTGGATTTTGAAGGATTATTGAATTAAGTATCGTATGTAGATGACTTCAGTTTCATTTTTGTAACTTGTCGTTTTGTTAAAATTTTTCATCGTTAGATTGCCAGGATGTTTCATAACCATGTCTCATAGACATACTAACTTACCGAATTTCCTTTTTTTCCTTGTGCTCTGTTTTATTGTTATCAAGAAGCAACTAAGATATGTATTAGTAGAAAGATATAATCTGGGAAGAAACTGATTTTTGGCACCACCAACCTTTTTTGTCGTCTTACTTCTGTAGGTGCTCTGGCTAGATATTGTTGTCCTGAATACTCTGCTTTCCTTCCCCACCCGTTCTTAGCAATGTTTTTAGATGTTGTTTGAATTTGATATCCCTATGATTTCACTGCACATGTGGAAAGGAAAACTTACAGGTTATACAGAGGTGCGGAGATTAAAAAAGATGTTTTCCTTGAGGAAAACAAAGTTGACTTCAATGCTTAAGTAAAATAAAATCTCTATTCATGTAACCTCTTGACACCACAAGCCTTCATTTTTCTCAGTGCTGTCTTTTAATGAACCTTTTAGCATGACTACTGCGAAACAATTTATCTCTTCTGCCCAGTGTAAACATCACAGATACTGGACATCAAGTAGTACAGTCATGAGGGCTACATAAAAATCAGAATGATGTAACGGAAATAGTGTCTGTGCTTTTCTACAGTAAAATAAATCCTCATATCCCAGCGTTCCTTGCCCTAAGACATTTTTAGTGTTTAAATGTATTTTTGCCTCTATATATTTACATAGAGTTTTTACTCTAATTAAGCAAGTGCTTTTTGGCTCTCTGCAAAGATGGGAACAATACCAGCATGAAGTTTGCTTCAGTTTGCTCCAGTGGCATGTGTGCTCGGGTTCCTGATGTGACTGTAATAGTCTGAGCAAGCAGAGTGGAAACTTTCCTAACGAATTTCTAGTGTTGTTGTTAGAATTAGTTATGCTGTTCCATTTCTAAACAAATCCAGCAAGCAGACTGAAATTCCTGTTTAGCACCTGTCTGATGCATTGTAGCTACGATGACGATGGCCATACACAGCACTTGCTTTAGCTCATAAATAGAAGCACACTTTTGTTCTGCCTTCTTTCAAGCAAACCTTCTTTGTGTCTTTAACATCCAGCTATGTTAAGTGCAAACAAAAGGTTTGGGGCTTTTGGATTTTTTTGCAAACAAGCTCGTTGAAGAGAAGCTTTATTTTGAAAGGGGAAAATTTAAACATTTTTTTAATTAAAAATCAAAGGACGGATTTATTCATGTAAAGAGGTCTGTTTGTAGAAGCCATGAGATGGTGGGCTATCTTCCTCTTTAGCTTTCAACTTTTAATTACGATGCCGAAGTGGAGTGTATGTGTTCTAACACTAGGAATATCTGTCATATAGGGTATCTCCAGTAGACTTCAGGATACCTCAAGATCTAACATTTTTTTTGTTTAATTTTGTTGAGGATATTAGGATGAGAGTACCAGGTGAAAAACATTATTGCAAGAGGAGGCTTGAAGAGTGACATCAGGTTATGTGTAGGAAGCAAAATAGCTTTTTAGAGCTTTAATTTCTTGGTTTTATCAAGTTGTATTGGCACAAACATCTTGTTTTCCCATTTTAATCAGAAGCCCTGCATGTTTTACTGGTGGCTGCTATTAAAAATATAATTTCTGATCTCTACATTTTAAGTTGTTTTCACGGTAATCTTGGTGCTAGAGAAGATTGGGCTAGTTCAGTCTTAGAAATAACTAAACTTACTGATTTCCACTCTATCACATGCAAGCCCAGCCTTTCCAGGGTAATTTGCAGATGCTGTCTTTGCTAATGAGAGGCTGGCTTACTATTCGTCTACCTTTCTTGCTTAACATTAAAGAAAGCAGTGAAATCAGCACAACGGTTTCATACATAAAACTTTATTGGACAGTCTGGCACTGGGCTTGAATAGCTACAATACAAGAGAAACTTTACCCGACCTATAATGGGTGTACTGTGAATTATGGCGTATCAGTGTAACAGTGTTCTCAGCTGCCTGTACAGCAGAGTTGCAATTCAAATAATTAATTAATCCTATTTTGGAGCTAATTAGTGCAGTGAAGGAGGTTCCCAAAGCGCAAACTGTTAAGATTTGGTTTGGAAGCAGAGTACCTGGCCAGCTCCCTCATAAACTTCATCGTTTTATGCAGAATGAGGATTGCAGTTGCAGAGTGTCGTTTCTAATTTTTGAAAACTGTTGACGGATTGAAGAAAAGTCCTGGCTTCTGTAGAGCCAGAAATCCCATCGAATGAGTCATGTGTTCCTGTTAGTCTTTTTAAAGTTTTCAGTAGATGCTTTGGAAAAACATTTCTGTGTTACAGAGTGGATCCTCTCAAGCCATGTATTTATTGGAGTAAACATTGGCTGCTCCTCAAATGAGAAAAACGCACACTGGTATCAGTCAGAAGGCTGTTCTTTTCAATTGACTCCTCTATAAATTCTCTTACCTGCAAGTGCTAACCATGCTGGTGTACCTCACTGTGCTGAACACTATGCAAATGAAATGATATTCTCTACCCAAAGAGCTAGCGGTCCTTTTGCATGACCAGAGAGAGCGGTGCTGCCAGTGCAGCAGCGAAGCAACATCAGTCTGTGTGGTCAGTGCTTGTCTGACCACTGAAGCAGCCAGACTGCTGTCAAACTATTTTAGGCAGCATGGAACAAAAAAGAGAGTCTTAAGGAAATACTTAAAGGGCTGTTTTAATGATTGCTAGGGAAAGCTATGTGTGTGCTTTGTAATTGAAATGGTTAGACAAGCAGCTAATGTAGTCAGATTGTTCTAATGGCAACGCCTGACCTAGATTTCATGGGTTATTGAAGATGAAAATTAATAGCATCGTTCGTCTCAGAAAAGGATATTGGGTAAAAAACAACAACAAAAAGAACTCAACCAAACAAAATAGAAAATTTGCTGTAAAGTTTGAACCAGAATATTTTATCTTTTAGACTAGCTAAAATTGTAAACCACAATTTTACAATCAGTAAAAACATTGAATGCTTCCTTCTTTCCTTCCCCTACTCTCCCATCACACTGCCTTGCAGGAATGTGGTTTCACGCCCTTCTTCTCTGTCAACCAAATTCCAAAAGGGTAATTTCTTACATAACTTGATTTAGATTTGTGAGCTGTGTAAGTGGGGAGAAGGGAAGGGCCCCATTCTGAAATATTTTTAAGAATAAAATCAACTATATTGTTTATGAGGAGATCTCTAAGTAATTTAAATTAAATATTTATTGGAGACATCTCGCTTCCAGTCTTTAAAATAAGGTATTCTGAATTCATCATGATCTTTCCTGAACTCCTTCAGTAGTATCTGAGAAGTTTAATGCTGAAGTGCTTGTATTTCTGGTTTATAAACCTAAGCAGAAAACATAGAAGTAAACCTTTGAAACCCTTACTGGGCACCATAAAGCCCCCAAAAGGTACTGTTTTCATTCCTGTTTAAACTAAAACTGATTCTGAAAGTCAAGAATGACATTTCCTAAACATGCTTAAAAACAGGGGGGGAGACTGAAAATCAAAACTTCCCTTGATTTACATAGCTTAAAATATTAATATTGAACTGAGAAGCTCTTACAAAAATGTTTCTGTTATTAGTTGCCTCCATCTACTCCCAACCCTAGGTTATTATTCGCTGTCTAAGTTCATTGACTGGGTAAAATGAAAGAAACCATCTGTTTTTATTTTATAACCTCTGCCACTTTCCAGGATAGCCTTGGTGGTAACAGCAAGACTGCCATGGTAGCAACAGTAAGCCCAGCAGCAGACAACTATGATGAGACCCTTTCAACACTGAGGTACGCAGACCGGGCCAAGAACATCGTTAATCATGCAGTGGTGAATGAAGACCCCAACGCTCGCATTATTCGGGAGCTCCGTGAGGAAGTGGAGAAGCTGCGAGAACAGCTTACAAAAGCAGAGGTACAAATTTAGTCTTGACTAGCCAGTAAGTCCTGTAAACCCCAGTGTCAGGACTTTCTTTCCTGGCTCTCGAAAATGAATGCCACAAAGAATTACTACATGGTATCTATGAGAAATCTCCCTTCATATCACTTCTTTCCATTTTTCTGCACGTCAGCCTTGAAACACGGGTGATAACATGAGATACCAGTTTCTGTTTGAACACCTTGTTGAGCAATCTTGTTTTTATTGCGAGATACAGATCAAAAGCAAGAGGACATGGAGGCAGGAATAGGGGTGGAGTCTTAAGATTGTGCGGTTTATAGGCAGAGCTTTGCAGGTGTATTTTAAGAATTCGGTGTGGCTGCATCCTGTGAGATGTGAATTCAGTTAAATAATGCTTACTTGCTTACAAGTTTTAACTGTTCTCAATTGAATCAATGTTATGAATATCTGCATAGCTACCTCAATGAAATTGTGAAAAGAGCATGGTCTAAATGTTAGGTGAAGGCCAAGAACTAATGTAATTCTGAGTTCTGTTCTCAAATGTGGCAAAGCAATGGTGATATAATCCATCTGTTTGGCAATTCAGAAAAATTATGATTACAATATTTGCCTCATGAGGTATGCAGCGAATGCTGGCTGTGATATTAGAAATGACTAGTGAGTTTTTGGACTGTTCTCATTTGAGCTGCCTAATATGCTAAGCATCCAATAAGTGTATATGAATTTCTTCAAAGCATCTCAAGTTAAATATCTAAAAATTCTTCTAAAATATGAACCACAGACTTAACAGTTCTCGGAGAGATACCAGTACTCCCTATTTGTTTCATTTGTGAGCATTGATGCCAAAATAATGGCAGCTTTCCAAAGTAGTGAAGTAGTGTTTCCTAAATATGAAGTAATAACGATTTCCTTTCCTAAGTATTAAAATCCCACCCTAGTTCTCATCTCAGTGGCATTGACAAAGAGCATGGAAAAAGCAGTGTAGTTTGCTATTAAGAGGCTGCACAGTAAAGGTCAAAAAATGCATTCATTGTCCTGTACTCCTTTCAGTTTATTACGTTTGCAGCCCATCTAACTGTTCTTGCAGAAATGTGCATAAATAACTTTTTTTAACTGAGCAAAAACATTGACCTGTTATGACAGTCAGGTTACATTTTCAAAACTCGTTTCCAAATATAGAGGTTACCTAGTTGTGGATTTGTTGGGTTTTTTTTTCCCTTTGGTGCCAGTATCCTTTTATATCCTAAACAGCTGAGGCAGAACAGAACTTGACAGTTTACTTTTCCCCCCCAGAAGAGTAAGGCGTTACCTTCTTTGCATTTTGATCTTTTCTTGTCAAAATTAATAGCACATGTTTTAATTTGTCTGTGGCAAGATCACCAGCTTGTCCTTCCTAAGGTGGGAATTTAAACTAGCTGCTTTCAGCAGAGAAGCACACCTGCTGGTCTAGTGTGAATCTGGTCCCATATATCTCTGGTTCTTACAGCCATTGTAGGGAGTGAGGAGAATTGCCTAGCTCATTTTACAGTTGAAGCCTGTGAAAATGTTGAGTAATTTTGCCTAGGTCCGCCTAAATAAACAAACAAGACTTAGACCTTGAGGGTACCTGGGCTTCATCTTCCTGTCCTCCTCTGTAGCGTCCAGTGCCTTTGCACTGATCGTGGTTTATTGGTCATAATAAATCTTTGTTCTTGAGATTGCCTTGGCTTCATTTTCCTTCCTGGGTGGAATTCATGTTCCCTTTTACCCTGTATTTGGGTATTTGAGATATTCAACCAGAAAAAGACTACACGGGACACATCAGCTGACAGTTCTTAAACTGTTGTGTCTTGAGGCAGAGGGAACTCCTGTCTTAAAACAGGATTTTCCACTCCTGGCACTTGCTTCTTTTCTTGAGTGAACTGCAGTGTAATGAGGCCGTTCTGTTTGATTTGGGTTCCTGTGAGGACTTTTGGGTTTTGTGGTAAGGAAATATCTGATGGAGAACGATGCTTGCATTGTTTAATTGGCATTGCTTAAATACCTACTAGCCAAAAACATTTTCATCTTGTTACCAGTAATGAAATAATGATGTAAGGAAGTCCAGAGGCTTCCTGTTCAAGGTAGTACAGGAGGAATATGCCAGTACTGAGACTGGAGGAAATAAATATATGTAGTATAAAAATGTTGATGTCCTTTCAGTTTTGGAGTGTCTGATGGGTGGCAGTGGGCGTATCTTCTTATTCTCAAGTTAGTCCTTGGATGGAACGTAGGCCTTTGACTATTTCACAAATCAAAATCAGTGCTGATGGATTAGCGAGAAAATTGAATTCCAGTGTCCAGAAGCACATCGTAAGGCTTCTTTTGATATCCGGTCTGTAAAATGCCTGTGTAGAGGTGGATAACCAGAACACCTCTGATGCCTTGATACTTGCTATAGAAAGAAAAAATCACACCCATCAGGCCATATCAAAATGAACAATAAAAATATTTTGAGGGCAAAGCATTTAAGTGACTGAGATGTTAGGTGCCATTTTGGGGGAATGACAGCTGAGATGATGGTGGCTAGCCAGATCAGCAGTATCTTGAGAAACAAGACTGGTTTAGATATGAGTCATTTGGTATGCTCATATTGGTATAGAATGAGATTAGTTTGCGTTTGAATATCTTTGTGCAAATCTGCCAGTATCATGTAATTGGTTTGCATTGAAGTATGTAAACTCCACTTTAGCATCTGTACTTGAAAGTAATTAAACTAACTTTTTGATGGATTCTGCATTTATATGCAATATGTATTTTAAAAAACACTTTACTTACTGATAAGTATACCTTGGAAAATGAGTAAAGTTATGTTTCCTTTTTTCCCCCCATCTGTGTGACGATGATGTGAAAAAAACCAAAGCACAACAAGCTTTCTTGTTTTATTTGCTTTTATTTCTGCAGGCTATGAAATCACCAGAATTAAAAGAACGGTTGGAGGAATCGGAAAAGTTGATTCAGGAAATGACTGTGACCTGGGAAGAAAAATTGAGAAAAACTGAGGAGATAGCACAGGTTTGCTGCTTTCTTTCCCCCCATTTTTTATGAAAAATAGGTTTGTTTCCTTTGTCTGTCAGTTCATAGAGATTGTCTGAATCTCTCCCCACATTTATGGGTAAGTAGGTCAAGCTTATTGCCCTTTTGAAAAGCTTCATTTAATTCCTGTGATAGCTGGGTGTTTCCTAGATTACCATTTCAGTGACAATAATAAATTGCCACTGTATGCAAATGGAGAAGTTATTTAAAAAATAATAATCCATGGATGAGAGGATTACAGGGACTTTATATTCTTCAGACAGTAAAATTGTTGTTTGTGATGAAGATGGAGCGTTTTAGAGCTTTAAATGCGAGGTTATGTACTGAGTGCTTCAATACACAAGGCAAAGGGCATTCAGAATATTAAAAACCAGAACCGTTCAGCATGCATGTGTATTTTAATACCTTTTACACTGATATTTAGGGCCTCAGACCATAATTGAATATGATGGTTACATTGAAAAATTGTGCAGGTCACCACGATTATTGCATGACACTTCCAATTCTTACCACACAAAGGCTGATGTATGTATTTGTAGTAGGGAGCTTTTGAGGGGGAAGACTATTGAAAGGTGATGAATAGCGTGTAATAAATAAGGAGAAAACAGAACCTCTGATGCAAAGCCATGACACAATCAGAATGGACTGTGTTGACTTTAGTTTTAAAGATCTGTTGTCGGAAATGCTGCTTGTGACTACCAGGGCTTCCTGGCTTTCAATGCAGATTCGTACCATGGATTTTCCTCCCTGTGTATAAGGGTGAATAATAATAATAATAAAAATTCTACTCTTGTTCTACACAATAGTTTCTAGCATAGAAACACTGAGTGTGCAAGGAGGTTGAAAAACTGGAGTAATGGGCTCAGCTCTACAGACTAAATCTGCCTTAATGTTTGCATATAGCTGCTTGCTTTAGCTCTCTTCCTCTTTGTCTCGTAAGTTCTCAGCATCTTAGGATGTTTCAAAGGTGGGAGTTTCATGAGCCTTACAGCTGTAGGAAAAGTGATTTTTATTTTTTTTTTTCAGAGGAGGGATAAGGACTAGTGTTTGTACAGTGTAAGGCTATTTCAGGACCATTTGGAAGCCAGTGGAAAGAACCTTCTCCCATCTTCAGTAGGCTTATGGAGGCCCAAGGTTAAAGGCATTTATATCACGGCTTGTCAAGTGATTTTATTTTTGGCCAGCATCCACCAACATCTGTCTGTCAAATTGTAGCAGGGTAGTTGGATAGGATGGAGAGATAATTGTAAATCTTTGAGGAAAGGATGATTCCTCATAAAGAATGAGGGCTATCGAAGAGGCAGTTTGTAGAGATGGAGCTTCAGTAAGGGTTCAAAGCCTGGAAGACTGTGTGAATAGGCAATTTTTCACATTTTCAGTGAGTATTTCACATACTTTTAATCTGTTTTGAATGTTTAAGTTAATTAACATTAGGTCATGAGCAAAAGTTAACAAACTGGCTCATTTTCTTTAAGTTAATCCGATGAGATTTAGGCTGTGGGCCAAGTCCTCCTTTGGGCAACACATTCTTTATCTCTGTAGATAATAAGGAATTATGTGAACTTCAGAGCCTGGCACTGATGATGGGAAGAGAGATCTTTGTCATTCATCACACTGCAGTTTTCCCTCTGTTCTTTGTTTGTTCCCCGCCTCATCCTCCCCCCCGGCCCCCCTCTCTCACACACACGACTTTTCCTTATGAGGACATTATGTTGGTTTTGTAAGTGTGTGGGGAGACAGGGTAGAGAAAATCAAGAGTGAGTTGTGTTTGCTATTCTTTGCGGTTTTAATCTTGATTAGACCTAGTACAACTCCAATGCTGAACAGAAAATTATACTGAATAGTATGACATACTAAGTTTTTTAATACAAAGCAAACTGCTAGGTAAAGGTCAGGACCTTAATAAACATTCCAGCATTATTCCTACATAATCTGTGCTAATTTTTTTTTTAAAGTCTTACCATCACAGGGAAAGCACTGTAGATTTCTTGTGTTTTTTTACTTACTTGTTTTACCCTCCCGTGTTTCTGCTTCCTGGTAGTAATTCTGTGAGAGGCCTCCCATGTTCATATTTTAAATTTTGTTTACTGTTGTGGACAGTGAGTTTCGTTTCAGTTTCTGTATGATCCTGGGAACAATCCTCACCATTTCTCTCTCAATGTTTTTTGTAGAAGAATCCCCTTCTGTTCTTAACTCAGAAATGTTTAATGTTCCTCTTTCACTGCTCTAGTCTTCACCCAAACACTTCCCTTTGAAAGATGTACATTTTTGCACAGTAATGCTTTGTTGTTGAATTCTATGAAGTCTATTGACAAGAACAAAACACCATCCAAAATGCTACTATTCTTGTTCAGCAGATTTGCATTACTTAAATAGCAGGTTGCCAGTTTTTTGTCATTTTGATTGCTCTGGAATAAAAGATAGACATGGAGCTTGACTTGGCAGGGATTTAACTTAACTTGTTGCTTTTTAGCTCAAAAGAGAAAATAAAGGGATCTAGAGATGTCTTTTGTGGTAGCATTTTGCTGTTCCAGTGAGGTCATGGAGAAGCTCCTACAGTACTGCAGTGTGCTGCTCTCAGCTGTTTTCGTTTTTCACTAGGGAGATGCAACTGTGTGAGATTGTAGCACGTAGCCCTCTGAGAGCAGAGGTGGAAGGACAAGAGAAATGACAGATATCCTGCTCAAAGCTTGATATAACTGAGGCATTTGTGTCTAATCTGTTGCAGAAGAGAGTTACCTTTTTCAGAAGTAGCAGTCCATCGTTTTGTCTTGCACCTTTGGCAGATAGGAATGCATTTCCGAAGGGCTGTGCATCAATCAGCTTAAGTTTTTGATGGCTACTCTCTTGCAGGAGCGTCAGAAACAGTTGGAAAGTCTTGGCATATCTCTTCAGTCTTCTGGAATAAAAGTTGGGGATAATAAGTGCTTCCTGGTTAATTTGAATGCAGACCCAGCTCTCAATGAACTTCTGGTATACTATTTAAAGGTAAAAATAAATATTCATACATAAATATAAAAGTATATATAATTTTTTTAGTAGAAGTGGGCTTCTAATGCCACTGGCAGAGGTGTACTTAGAGAATGTTATAAAAACTGCATATCTAAAGCATTCTCTGATACTGCCTCATTAAAAATCATCTGAGTACGACCTTTTTATTTCAAATTTAATTCTTTTTATCAGAGGAAGGTTTGGGGAGGGGGTTATGTTTTTATTCTGGTTTTTGAAAGAAATTTAGAGATGCTGTCTTTTATGAACTGTCTTCTGTTTTTTTTTTTATGCCAGCTTTCACGAGGTTTTACCCAGAGAAGTGTTTTATCTGGGCATACCAGTAATGAGCTTGCTTCTACATGTGTAGTACTGACTTTAGTTTATAAAATGCATTTCTGTTCCTCTTCATGCAACTTGCCAGGAGTGAAAATCAAGTTCTGTTCTGCCTTAGCACTTCTGCTGATGTGCAGTCCCCGTTACTGATGTTAAACATAAAACATATAATGCGACTTTTGGACTCTGCACTGAAACATTTGAGCAGTTTATTCTAGTTTAACAAACTGTAGATGTGATCTGGTGTTAGGAGGAGGAATGAGATAGAACCATTTTTAAGTCACATTTTAGAATACAAGTTCTAAGAATTTAGCAGTGTAGGAACGTTGGCAGCTTCACATTAAATGATTCTCTTCTCTTTGAAGTGGTCTATAGTAACTCTCAAAACAGCCCCAGAATTAGCAATTGGGCTGAAAGATTGTTTTGGTTTAGTTGGTCTTAGGAAATACGTGATTCTCTTTTATATCGGTCATCATTGCTCTATGCTATCTCAGTGAAAGCAAGGGAAAGAACTTTCTCAATGTTCTATCTGCTAAAAAACATTAAAAAGGACAAAAGAGCTGAGCTGAGGTTTTCGGAGAAGAATTGAATCCTTTCCAGGCGCCTTGCATGTAGGTGTCCAGAGCATGAGTCAAGCTGCTAAATCAGCCTTGACACTGACAGCTATTGAAGCAGAGCCGACTTCTGTGGTGTTCGTTGTGAACACATGATGAGTAGGCTGAAGCCAAAGCCTTGACCCATCAGTACCAGCAGAGAAGTACCAGGTGGTACTGTGCTACTTTCCTTTTCTAGAGAAATCCCTTTTGCATGGGGTAGGTGTTGTGTGTTTCAGTTACTTTTTAGTTATTTTTTTTCATAACACAGATTTGTTTTGTTGATTGGGAATTTTGGTGTAGAACTCCCTGTGCTTTGCAGTTCTTTCAATAAAAGGACTTACACCCGTTTTGCCTAAAATGCTGAGATTAAGCTGTATTGCTTCTCAGAGTAAATATATTGCCAACATACTGTGTAATGCTGAGCTGCGTATGTACTCGACCTTAAAAGTTACTGAAGAACAACTTGATCTGACTTATCTAAACTATTTTATCTGTTCCTCAAAAATTGCTTAGAGGTGCCTAAAAAGAAATGGAGGAATTGGAGCGTGTGTGGAATGATCCTTCATCGGCCAAATCCCTCATACCTTGGGAACTTCAGGAATTTCCTAACCTGTTAGATGATCTAGATGGAACCTGCGTAACAGCCATGGATCTAACCACTGTGAACCTGTCTTAATTCCTCTTTGAACTCCTTTATACTTTCGGCTTCTACAACATCCCGAGGCACTCAATTCCATAATTAAATTATAGAAACCTCTTAATCTTCAGATTTAACTGTTGCCTGTAAACTTTCCTGAGTGCTCCCTACTTGTTACTGTAAGACAAAGTGAGGATTTGCTTGCAATGTTTCATTCTTCTTTTTTCCTCTAAGAGAAGTATTGAACAGCTTTCAAATTTTGGAACTAGATGACAAGATACATCCAGAAGGAGGATGGATGAATTAGAACTAGCGAACTTTTGTAATCCATTGCTAATATCTGAATGAATTTTCCCCAGGAGCACACATTAATAGGCTCAGACAACTCTCAGGATATCCAGCTGTGTGGAATGGGAATTCTTCCTGAACACTGCATTATAGACATCACCCCAGAAGGACAGGTTATGTTAACACCTCAAAAAAATACTAGGTAAAGGAATAAAATACAGCTCCAGTTGTATAATAATGGTAGTTTTATCTAATATGTGGTGCAAAAAGATAATTAAAAAATAACTTTTCTATGTATTCTGAAGAAAATTCTACTTCTTGTATCCTGCTTTTACATTTTGTTTTAATTGTCATCTACTGCTCAGTCAACTCCTACCTTTCGTTCTAATATGATTTCTCTCAGTGATGGTGTTTGTAGTCGTAAGTTTTCAAAAAGAGGATGAGTAAATTGCATATGCTTTCAGCAAGTAGATACTCACTGATTTGCAGCTGTGTAGATGTAACTATCAAAATTTGAATTAATTTTCTAGGAAATCTGTTGATATGCAAAGAGCTGCTGAAGCATTTGTTGCTTTATTTGATTAGATAGCAGTACTTGAAAAGCAGATGGTATATTCAAATTGATCACAAAATGACATGCATCGTCAGCATGTCCAATAATTTATTGCTAGATGCACAAAATTCAACAGTTTCACATTTACCCTGATTTGTAGTTGATCCTGCTTGCAGCAGGAGATTGAACCGGAGGACATCCTGAGATTCCCTTCAAATTTGAGTTATCCTATGATCCTATTTTCAGACTTAATCTGTCTCTGAAATAAAAGTAGTTTCTGGTGATTCTAATTAGTTTATTGTCTTTAAGCTATTTATATAGCGAAGGTCTCTGATGTCTTATTCAAATGTTTCTGTTTTGTGTCTGTATTTCAGAGTAATCTGAAAAGTGTTTATTTCCAGTGACATAATATTTTTTTCAGGCCCCTCATTTTTAAGCTCTGATTATACTTCCCAGACATAGCTGTCATAATGTCTATCCAAATGTAGTGAGCTCCTTAAGCTTAAGCAATCAACAGAAGTTGAGTTTGAGGAGCTTATGAAACAGCACCGGGTAGATCAATGAAGTTTGTGGGGATGTTTTGCCTGTTTGCAATCCATAAACCTGTTCTCCTACCTTAACTGGTTACAATAAAGAAAGTAGTATTGGGAAAAAAAGTTAAGCCTTATATACATGCATTTGTTTTAGATTTTTTGCCTTTTCACAGGACATTCGTAAATGGTTCTGCTGTCGTGTGTCCTATCCAGCTGCATCATGGGGACAGAATACTGTGGGGAAACAACCACTTCTTCAGGTACAAAAGATATTAAAGAAATTGTAAGTTTGCACCAACATTGTTTTATCTTAAGGTATAAGGAAAGATGTCAGTGGAACATTAAAGCTGCAGGAGGAGGTGATTTCTTTTTCACTGGGATTATCAAGGCAGTCCTGATGACTGACTGTTCTTGAATGCTAAATGTTACAGCGATTGTGCATGGTTTTAATTTCAGAGCACCAAGTTGACTTCTTGTATTTTCAAGAGACTATAACCTTGCTGATGAGGACCTTGCTGTAGTTATTGGTACTGTTATCTCACTGAAGAGATTTAACTTTTGAGCTGGTAACTTTAACGTGGTTCAGTACCACATTAATGCTAAGTACTTTCGCTTCCACGATGAAAATACTACACCCAAGCTTTGACTTGAATGGGTTGCCTTTTGAATTTTGCAGATAAGGTGTTAGATTTTTGAACTATGTTATACAGTGATGTGGGTCTTACAAGGTCACTGTGTTCTCTGTTGCTCGTTCCCCAGAGTTCCAGCTCCAGCCATACCTACGACCTTCCTGTATCAGACAGGATCACTGGTAGAAGTTTTCTGTGAAAGACTATTCTTGAAATCCTCTGTGGCTGGTCTGAAATACCTTAAAGATCAGTGGATTTAAATGATAATCTAAAACTTAATTATTTTCTTTTATGCTTGAAAGAAGAATCCACATAAAAAGCAGGATATAATTTCATTATTGCCTCTAAATTATTTGGATAAGGGATGGCTGAAAAAATTCATGGTTATCTAAACTATATGATTAGTAATATCAGGTACTCTCTATTATTAGAGCGTAGAGTGGATTAGTTAGTTTGCCTTGAACTCCCCTGTTTACAGTGAGGAAAACTACACTCACAGAAGCTCAACAAATTTTGAAAGGGAAAAATCTGATGATTTGGATAATCTACTTAATTTTAATAATCTTTGAAATCAGAGTTGAGCGATTAATAGTTCTTTAAAATCTTTCCTCTTATTTAAAGGCTGAATTTACCAAAGAAGAAAAAGAAGGCAGATCATGAGGATGAAGAGCGAGACAACTCTATGAAGTGCAGTAATAGTGTTGAGCAGCTGGACGTAGATGGAGACAATTCCAGTGAAGTGTCTAGTGAGATTAACTTCAGCTATGAATATGCCCAGATGGAAGTCACTATGAAGGCACTTGGTAGTAATGGTAAGAAGTAACAGAAATTGTTGGGAATACATATGAAACATGAGGTTACATCTTCAGGGACTCTTAACCACAGACTTTTTCCCTTATAACTTCCTACTGGAGAATTTTTCTTGTGAGTGACTCATCATAGCCATTTTTGCACTTGAGGGAGAAAAAAAGAAAAACATCGCAGACTGTTTTGTTTGGCAGTTCTTGTTGAGGGAAAAGCCAAAACTGGAATAATGGTGGAACTACAGCCTCAAATCAAAATGTTTTCTGTTTGTTGTTTGTTTTTCTTGTGTTATGTCTCACTCGGGCCTTAAATATAGTGATTTCTGTCTTTGAAACCATGTTCTTTAGTTTTTGTGGTCTTATGTAGCTGTCCCAGAATGACACTATTTTGGGAAACAAGGAAGGTTTTTTCAGCTTGGTCTTTCCCTTTTCTCAATTCTCTTAAATCATCCGTCCAGTCTGTTCTGTAGATGTTTGTTTTGCTCCACAATTCAGCAGCGTTTTTTTAATATGTATTACAACAAAAATATAATCTCTTCCTCTTTTTATATGATAACTATGTTTACTGTCTAGGATGTTCCTCACCATGGATTTCAGTGGCTACTGCAGGCCCTAATGTGGATACCTGCAGATATAGAATGGGGAAAGGAAGTACCAAATCATAGTAATTTGTACCTTGCCCAAGGTCGTACAGCATATCTGTAGCAGAACGTGAGAAAGATCTCGTATTTCTGAGTCCCCCGTCTCTGCCCTATATTCATTACATGACTGTTTCCATTTAATTTTATGGCTACCAGGTATTTGACCCCCAGAAGTACTAGCTTCTTTATTTACAACATTTGCTTAGATCCAATGCAGTCGATCTTGCAAAGCCTGGAGCAGCAACACGAAGAGGAGAAGAGATCTGCGCTTGAGCGACAGAGACTGATGTATGAACATGAACTGGAGCAATTACGAAGGCGATTGTCGCCAGAGAAGCAGCATTTCCGCAGCATGGACAGGTTCTCCTTTCATTCTCCCAGTGCTCAGCAGCGATTACGGCAGTGGGCGGAGGAGAGGTGGGTAATCAAATCTGACTGTCAGGAGTGTTCATTTAAAGTTCTTCAGTGCTAGTGAATTTTGCAAGATTTTAATTGCATTGCACACCTCTGCCAAATTTCTGGGAGGACTCCTGTGGGGGCTTGGGAAGGACAGAGTGAAAATACTAGTCTAAGAACAATCAGACCTATAATGGTAGAAAAGATGAGAAAGAATGAGTGCCTGCTTTGTTGTTAAGGAGAAACTCCATCCTGATCAGCCACAAATTTGACTAAAGATAAGGTCATTGAAAGAAATTTTGGGCCTTCTGTATGAGTTTGTTCTTCTGTGGATCGTGACTCAGCTGCTGGAAGGTTGATTTTCCTCTTGATTCACATCCATCTGTCTGACCTGGGTGGGTCCTGGCAGCCAGAAGAGTGCAGAAGGAAAAGGGAGTAAGAGGATGATACAAAGAATTTTGAGCCAGAGCATTGCAAAAACTGTTTAATAACCACAGAGGGGCCACTCTTCTCATTGCCTCTTCCTAGGCAATTGCACTAGGTTATTTACTGCAGCCTCTAAATGATCGTTTCCAGTATGACTGTCAAAAAGAGCAGCTGCAGGAGGAAGATGAAATGTACCCTAAAATAGTGACTACGGTAAAGACATTGTAATGAGAAAATCCAGATCTGATTTATATGGCTAGAGAAGCAACTTTTGAAATACAAAATAATTGAGATGGTCTAACAAGGTACTAGCTGCGTGTCTGGAATGTTTTGTGGTACCAGATTCCTGTGCACAGTTGGCACTCTCTCAGACTTGCCAGGAAGGCCAGGGAGCAAGTGGGTCATGGTGTCTGAATAAACCATTCTCTGTAAGATGGAACATCCACATCTGTGGTGGGGAAACTCTGGAGTAAGCCACACAAGAGCTGACTGTTCAGCAGATGCATGGAGAAGTCTCCAAAGCCAGCAGTATGCTAATGTTCACATTGCTAAATTCATACAGTTAATCTTCCCCTCCCCCCAAAGAAATGCAATTTAATTTACCTGATTTTTGTTATAAAGCTGAATGTTAAGACTCCTTCCTGTCAAGTGATCATTTGTTTTACACTCAGTTTCAATACTTAAATGCCATGATTTTTCCTGTCTCCCCCTCCGAATCCCCTTCTTTTAGAGAAGAAATGTTGACCCACAGCCTGAGAAAGTTGCGAGAGCAGATTGTTAAAGCCAATTTGTATGTGAGAGAAGCCAATTTCATCGGAGAGGAGTTGGACAAGAGGACAGAGTATAAAGTTACCCTCCAGATCCCTGCTTCAAGCCTTAATGCTAACAGTAAGGTAAGGTAGCCCTAATGGAACTAAACCATTGTGCAATAAGTTTGACCCTCAGCATTCATATTTGTCGTATTCTGACTTTAATGGTCTAGCTCGTTTGCCAGTCTATTCATGTGCGTTAAACATGACGCTCTTAGAGCATACTACATCCTTATTTTATTTTGTTCCCATAGAAGTCTTATAATGTGCTAGCATACTGATAAATGTTATGATACAAGACCTTTCCGCTGGTGTTGAAGTTCATGCTTGCTTCTGTTGCAGAGTGATAAAATCTGTGCAGGTTAGGTAAAATCTGTTTCAAGTATTTACCGTCACCTTGAGGACATTTGGCTTTACATCGTCTTCGTGATCTGAGTAACTGCTGTCATCCCCATGGTGCAGGGAGGAACAGTAGCAGAGAGGAATTGGATTACTTGTTCCAGGCATCTTAGAAATTTTAGGAGGAGGGAACTAAACTCAGATTTTCGTGTCTCAGACTGGCTGCCTAAGCTGATATTACTTCTATTCTTGAGGTCAGCTCAATATTTTGGTGATACTCAGGCTGTCGTTAGGACAGTAGATGTATTATTCCAGGATTAGGATTTTTATTAGTTGCTTTAAAAGTTTCTCTCATCTGCTTGTTTTTCTTGCAGTCTTCTGGCACGTCTACAAACAGGGTGGTAAAGAGGATTAAGTGTCTGCACTGGATGAAAGTTGCAGACCGTAGTAACCTTAGTTGGAACTCCAGGCCTGCTGTAACTCGAGGATATTTGTGAAATGCTTAAATGTTCCTATTTCTAACACTTACGTAAGGTGAAAATCCATGGAACTAGTGTCTGTAGCTGTGATAAGACTTCGCAGTTAAACTGAACACGAATATACTGTGACAACCAAACTCAGAGTCTGTCACGCTTGAATCTGGTTGTTCAAGCTAGAATAAAAAAAAGAACAAAATCCAGCCTTTTCCCAAAGGTGTTCTCAGTTTTGTATTGGTTTTAAACTATTTTTTCATTGTTGTGACACAAATTCCTTATTGCTGTCTCTCTAATTGTTTCACAGAGAGGTGCGATTCTCAGTGAGCCTGCTATTCAGGTGAGAAGGAAAGGGAAAGGCAAGCAGATTTGGTCACTGGAAAAGCTGGAGAATCGATTGGTAGATATGAGGGATCTTTACCAGGAGTGGAAAGACTGTGAGGAAGACAACCCAGTAAGTAAAAATTACTCCAGTGTTGTGCTGATAGAATTGCATCTCCATTAAATTTTTTGTTTAAGTAGATGTGAGAAAATCTTCTAGTTCAGGGGCAGGTGAGGCAGAGGGAATATGTAAAGAGATAAGTTTTCCTGAGCTTTTGCTTTTCCTAGTACTGAAGCGATCTTCAGCATTTCATTAACCCTTATCTTGTCACTTTGATGCTTGTTTGCATGCATAGTTTGGTGCCGGAACCCAGCATACAATAAGAAGCAGTAAGTAAACACAGCAGCAGTTGTTGTTCAGGCTGACTTCGCTGAATCTGACAATGTTAAGAAGAGCTTGCTGAGAACAGGCCTTATACTCAGTGCAAAGTAAAATTCAAGTTTCCATTCTTCTTGTGATCTAATCTGACCTCTTGCTTGAGTACGTTTTTCTTTCACTAGGATAAATTGTGCAACACTTCAAAAACGGTTTCATTACATTACTGTTTTCTTACATTATTATGAATTTGATTGAAGGTGATGCGAGCTTACTTCAGGCGAGCTGATCCATTCTACGATGAGCAGGAAAACCACAGCCTTATCGGAGTAGCCAATGTTTTTCTTGAGTGCCTGTTCTATGATGTGAAGCTACAATACGCTGTTCCAATCATCAATCAGAAGGGAGAGGTTTGTTATTCTTCTATAATCTATCCTTACTCAACTGTTTAATTACAGCCCTTGGATCTTATTACCAGTATATAGTAGATATTTTCCAGATTCATGTGCACAAGCTCTTTGCCAACAATTCGGCATTATGCAAATCCCCTAATACCTTACTAGAGTTGTTTAGACAGCTCTGAATCCCAGCATAGTGATTGTGAAAGAAGAAAGCTTTGGAGCACCTTTCTGAGCGAAGGAGCCCAGAATAAATACTTAGTAGAATGAGTATGAGCTATAGCTCCACTGGCTTTCGCTCACTACCATCAAGAGTAGACTCTTAAATATATGCTGTAAGAACAACTTCAAAGGCAGCTAGAGCATACCAGGCAACATATGCACTTTGCAGACTCTAGAGACTGATGTGAGGGTGAGCGAGATTGCAGCATGCTGTTCCAAAGTCACTCTAGTGGCTGATTTCTTTATGGTTTTACAACAAAGACTCTTTGATTCTTGCTCCAAAGCATTCTTCATCTGGTGCAACGAATGGACAGTGCAAAACACTAGAAAGGAATAAAATGTTGTCTGCTTACAGACTGGAAGCAGCAGTAGTGATAGTTACCTGAAAAGGGATGAACCTGTCACCGTTTTCTGGCACACAAGTAATTCTTACTCCTGTCTTATCAGGTATCAGGTCGTCTGCACATTGAAGTTGTTCGAGTGAGCGGAGAGATAGACGACAGGTTGGTTGGAGGCGAGGATGGTCCAGACTATTCAAGTGAAAATGACACTCAGGAGAGAAAACTTGTCTGCAGGGTGAGTTCCAGATATGTCCCAACCTCTGAGCAACCTTCTGTCTTTCCATCCGGAGTCTTAAAGAAGTCCCTGGTGCATTGGCTTCTGGGTGTTAGATGTCTCTTTGTAACCTCGTGTACCATGTTCACTTCCAGTATGCAGCTACGCAGGCAGAGTCCTGTCTTTAAACTCATTGATTGACTATATGAAACTGTATTGATGTTTCAGGGTTTCCAAAATAAAAACAAAAGAGCAAATGGCTTAGCTGTACCTAATCATTCAGTTGTATGTACAGAGTTTAATACTTTTGCTGTGTTTGTTCCATAGCCTTATGTAATGTCCTGGTGCCCAGTGTTTCTCCTGAAGCACTGCTGCTTGCTTTTCTCATGACGTTTTGTTTCTGGAGTGGCTGAAGTAATATAAGAGAATGTTGTAGATGGTTTTTATTCCTTTTAATCTCCATGATTATTCTTTTTTAAGTCTGCAAGGTATTCATTAAACTATACTTATATGTATATACAGTCTTACCGCAGAAAGTTTATTGTAGTCTTGGAAGACATGGAAGATCTGTGCAGTAGGATTGGAGCTACAATATCTAATTCGAAAGGAGTCACAGAATCTGATAAACTCCCATTATTCTGTGAATCATTCTCAATATTTCTTTCTCTAAATATTCAATATTTTGTCAAATATATACAGGTGAGTTTGTTATTGTTAATAATAAAAAGAAAGTTAGCAGGAAGTATTTACTAGCAGTTCTGTGTTGTAGTAAAACACAAGATAGGCCAAGCTACAGTTAAGAAAGTTGGAGGCCAAAAGCACTAGAGGGAGTGGTCCCAAACTGTGCTGGCTTCTGGAAAATTTGGGAGCAATTGTACTCTTTTTCACTTTTTATCCTGGCCCATAGAGCTCCATGTCCTTGCAGGCAGTATGGGGCGTTGTTGTGGGAAACATTCTCCTGAAGATCTTGAGTGCTGCCTTACTATAGAGGTCTAACTAATTTGGTCTTAGTTTAACAAATGGAGAATAGAAGTTTATTAAATAGTATGATTAATATGATGGCTTTGTTTAGATCAGAAGGTGTATTCCAAACATTTTGTTTCTATTTGACCTCGATTTTGAAAAAGAGAGGACAGGCTACTTTTGTATTGTCGGGGTTATTTTTGTATTGTTCCTAGCATCACAGAATAAGGACAAGTAGTATCTTAAAACAAGAATTTTGCAGAATAAAGGAGCCAGTTTTGGTAGAAGTATGAGATTTTTATTGTATTCCTCTTCAGTTACAATGCTTTTGGTGCTTCTCACCTTTAAAAATTACGAAAATGATTTGGTGTGTTTGTAGAGTTCAGCCCTTGAGCTTTTGCTCCCCCGAAATACGTGCCTGCTGACATCTAGTGGCCATGTTCAGCTGGTGCACTCAAAATATTGTCTCCGATGTATATCAATGCAGACATTCGTATTTTGTGAAGTTTTTTGCCTTTTTTTTTGGTAATCCTTTGCAGTGGAACAGAATAACATTGTTCTAACAGAAAATGTTTTTAATTCTATGCCTCATGAAAAAGGGCTTTTCCTTTGTTTCTCATCTCTTTTCTAGATTAAAATACTTCAGGCTACAGGTTTGCCACAGCACCTCTCCAACTTTGTGTTCTGCAAATATACATTCTGGGATCAACTGGAGCCAGTTACTGTTGCACCTGAGGTGGATCCTTCCTTATCTTCCGTCAGCAAGGAGCCACGGTGCATGGTTGTCTTTGATCACTGCAATGTAAATTTTTTTTTCTATTTTATTAATGCAGCTGTAGGCAGGCAAAGCAGGTTTATGCTTGCATAAGAGGTTTTAGTTGCCTCTTTGTTCACATTGTAATGTTTCGTGAGGCTGATACCCGAATACCATTTTTAATAAGAACTTAAGCATCTTCAGAGTCTGTATAAGTTTGATTGTTCTACACTGTTCACTTGTACAAAAATCGCAGATGGTGAAAAAGCAGATGAATAAAGGAAAGTAATCTGTTCAGCAGAGAGACTTATGTTAGAATTTACCCGCAGTAAAAATGCTGCTGAGTGTGAATGGAAGAGTGCTAATTCATCTGAGTGCATTTGATGTCTATATCTGAGCTGATCACTCTACACTCTGATGTAGTGGAGAGAAATGTCCTAGTCCTGGGACATGATGCCTGTTATCCTAATGTGGGTGTTGAAGTTAGGTCGTGTACATTAGAACAGGCTATTTCTGCCACTGTCTGTGGAGAGGCATCTCTAACAGAGAGATAGATACAAAGTCAGCTTAGATGAATCCCAGCCAAATCACCCGAGTTCTCGTTTTGTTCTTTCTGTCATTTGTCATTACACTGAGCAATTTATTCCACTTATCATTTGTAAAATAGATATAATACCTTCTGATGAGTTTTGATTTTCTGATTTTCTGATTCTGAAAATTAGAACATATGTTTTGGTTTTTTTTTTGGGGGGGGGAACCATTGGCTCAGGACTTGGAACAACATGCAGTCATTTTTCAGCTCTTTATAGACTTTAATCTTCAGCAAATCACGTATCTTTGCCTTGCCTCCTGATTTTACCAACTGAGGTGACAGTTCTTCCTTCCATCTATATTGTGTCTCGGGGACCAGGGTGACTTTACTACATGCTTATATTAAAGTCAAGACAGTAAATCTCTAAGCCTAAGTCGTTGTGTAGTCACAAGCATCAACCGATTTGTCACTTATACAGGAAGTTTCTGTAAATATTTCTGAAGACTTCATGGAACATCTTTATGATGGTGCTTTGGCAATTGAAGTATATGGGCACAAGCAGAGTGGTGATCGCAAAAATCCAGCCCTGTGGGATCTGGGAATAATTCAAGCCAAAACACGCAGCCTTCGTGACAGGTAAATATGGAAAATAGATCCTTGGTTTAGAGTTTTGGAAAATCACTGTCTGAGGTGCCCAATTTTGAAGCATGTTTGGGCTAAGTAGTCAAATTTTGAACTGAAGACAACTGAACATCTGTTTGAGACTGTATGTATTAGACTATTATAAATAGACTCTGTCTTTTGGAAGAACACCATGCGATGTGTCAGTAGGCTTTAACAAAGTGATAGAGGAGAAATACCCATATCTGTTTCAAATTAAAAGTGATAAAACTCAAAAGACATTGAAGTCCATTTTATTTAGGCAAACTCACGTGCATAAGTAGTGTTTTACAAAAGAGCAAGCTGATTATTTTCCTTTCTATTGTTACACTACTCTGCGCCAGAAAAACCTATCAAGTCTAAAACAACAAGATGTTGTTCTGACTGTACACTGTTGTATTTATTCAAGCTCTGACTCCAATTCATTCTTGGCCATGAAATGTCATGAATGTAATTCTTCCATTGGAAGAGCTGTATTGCTAATTACTTCAATTGGAGTAAATATGCAACTGTAGGGTAATTCAGATTGAAGGGGGTTGCTTTTTTGCTGACAGCCATTTGTCGTCCCCAAAGTAAGCTTAGTAGCATTTTCTTAAATGTAAGTTGTTTTGCTTCTCCAATTAGAAGGCAACTCTGCACCTTAATTTATTGGTAGTTATTTCAGTTTTTACTTCTAACCTAAACTTGTGTTGAGCATCTTGAGTATTAAGCTATATAAAGTGAAGTTTAAAAGAAAAATCAGGAAAATATGGCAAAGAGGAGATGGAAAAAGGATGCTATAAAGTATTGAGTTACATTTGGTAGCTGAGTAGTAAGTATCTCTTTCCTTTGTAATTTTGAAGTACTACAAAAGTGGCCATTTCTTATTTAAGCTTTTGGAGGAATTTGAGAGAAGGCAGTAGTACAATGAAGTTCAGGAAAGTGCTCTGAATCTTGAAAGCTCGTGAGACAATGTCATAATTAATTCTGTTGTCTTCTGTATGTATCTCATTGCACTGACAACACTGGGCTTCTGTGGCAGTAGTTGAGACCAGAGCTTAAATGTTAGAATATAGTGGAATTGGGTTTTATATTGGAATCAAGAAAAGACTTATTTCTGATATATGACTAGTTGTCAGTAAGACTTACAAGCACTGCACAACTGGTAACCCTGTATCCTTGCGAATGGTGCATTTATTGATGTGTTTCTTTGCGTCTTCAATCTGCAGTCTGAGCTAATGCTTTGGGTTTTTTCATTCTTTTTCTTTGGGAAAAAAAAAAAAAAGAAGAAACAGTATTTGACATGTTTTGCAGGTGGAGTGAAGTAACCCGGAAAGTAGAACTCTGGGTTCAAATTCTAGAGCTGAATGAGAATGGGGAATACTGCCCAGTTGAGGTGACTCCTGCCAAGGATGTATGCACAGGAGGCATCTTCCAGCTCAGACAGGTAAGGTGGCACATACAAGATTTCAGCTGTGAAAAGAGCCTGCGGAGAGCTAAGAAGCTTCTATTTTGTAAGGTAAAGAGATGGTGTCCAAGGAGCTGTCAAGCTTAGACACAAAATATGATACTGTGTAAAACAGACATGAAGTGGAAGAAAGTGGAGTCCTCAGTGTTTTGTGAAACTGCTAGTGTGCATAAGCTCAGATGTAAAGGTGATCAAAGGCTTACCTGTAATCTTTTTGCTATGTTCTGTTCCCTGTTCTGTGATAGCACCTGGTAGAAAGAACATCAGTCTGAACTGAACTTGATTATTTTTTTAAAGAGGTCCAGAGTTCCACTTTATTTGATCCTTCCAGCCAACCACTTCTTTGTTCTTTGAATTCTACACGCATTAAATTGTTAATGCTTAACTGAGTAGTTAACATTTTTAAGAGATAAGCTATTGCCCAGAGAACACTAGGAATTAGTTAAAGTTAGATACAGGCTGTACCTCTGAACTCCCCAAATGCTTTGATATTTTATTTTTTTTTTTTAAATTCCCCCCCTCCCCAGGTGTTACTAAAGAACAGTTACTTTGCTGCACTGATAGCATCGGTGGGTAAGAATTTCCAGTCAAGCAGATCACAGTCAGGAAAAGTTCACTGAAACTCCAGTAGCTCAACAAATTAGACTATTTTCTCCTGGTAGGTGGGGAGGAGATCCTATTTTCTGCCTTCAGAAGTATTAAAAATAAAATCCTCTAAGTGTTACGTTTTGAAAACCCTTCAGAAAAATAAACTGGGGAGTAACTGAATGCTGAACTTTTTTTTTCTGTACGTACATAAATCCTGTAAACATACCCCTTCTGTTGCAAGATTTATCTCTTGAACACTGGGTTGTTGAGATTGCAGAACTCACCACTTTGTTCTTCAGAAAATAAAAATATAATGTTGCTTGCAAATGGCTGCCAGTAGAGGTCTCTCTGTCATTAAGCTTTTGGCATTCTATATTCTTTTTTCCAAGCATTTCAAATTGTTTTTTTGGGCAGGGACAATCTCGACGAATTCAGGTTGAAGTGAGATCTGTACAGGAATCTGGGACCTTGCCACTGATGGAGGAATCGATTTTATCTGTTGGCATTGGCTGTGTTCAAATAAAACATGTCAAGTCACAAAAAGTACCTGAAAATTATCAGGTAAGAGTCTGAGTATTTCCTGTCAGCTATGGCTATTTTCAAGACATGTAAAAGAATAAAGTGATGCCCTAAGTTTGTTGCACTTGGAAGCAATTCCATTTGTTTCAAGTTTTAGTTAGGTTTTGGGGGACATTTTTTCAATCTACTTCTTAAACATATAAAGCAATGTCAAGAAGAATTGTCAGAATTGCTTTGATGGTGGTTTTAGAGATTATTCAAGATAGTTTAAATCTAAACTTCTGTCTTTCAGAAAGTGTTGTGGAAGATCTTCCTCTTAATCAAAAATAATTTTCCATGGCAAAAATAATATTTGTAAGACTACTTTCTGTGCCTCTTCTAGTTTTGTGTTTGTTTTTTTTTCCTATCCTTAAAAGCAGCACAGCTTTAACACACCATTCAGAGAAGAAAAGAAAATGCCAGTTTCTAAAACTCATTAGGAGTTTGTCCAGTAGATTTTACTTCAGATATTAGATATGGCAGCAATTTTAATTAAGTATTCAAATTAAAATCAATCAATGGAACATATATTGAAATAGTGTTGAGTTACAAATGTTAGAATTATATGAGCCAGTTGTTGGATCATAGTATATGTTGGCCAGTTGTTTGACAACCTCAGAAGCACTGCTTCTCATCTTAACCTGCAAGTATATAGATCTGATTTTAGGGATTGTCTTCTTGCAATGCTGCCATCAGTTTCTGGTCCAGTCTGACTTTTCCCACCAACAGCTAAATTAAAATTTAGTCACTTGTCTGAGCTAGCAAGCCAAAATCTGGTGCAACAGAAGAAGCAAGTCTCCAGACTTACTTGATTAGCTGCCCTGTTTGAGACAAGGCCAACTAAATGTCAGGTAGTTTTTGGGACATCTCCCAGCTTTCCAGAATGTTTACCCTGTTGACAGAGTATGAGTCAATCCATGTCTGCTCCCTTTTTTTGCTTAATCAGTATTGTTTTTCCCTTTGAGGTCTGAAGTAGTTGGGTTTTTTGTTGTTTCCTAACCTTAGCAGTCCCTTGCCTCTTGTGTGTCAGGGGTACAAAAACGGGAATTTTTCCCACCTTTTTAGAAATCTCACTTTTCGGCATCCTGGGCAGATTATTGCTTTTATTACCCGTTATGCTTCTGCTAGCGACTCTGCCTGCCGGCTTTCTACCTGCCTTTCCATCACAGCAGGCCCCAAGATCCATGTCCTCTAGAGCAAGTAAACTGTTGTTTCTCTTCTGAGAATGGAGCAAGTTTCTTAAGAGACTCTTCTCTCCCGAGACAGAATGATTGATTCTTGCAAATTTTACTTGAAAGCTATTACACACCTGCAACATACACATGCCCCCCTTAGCCTGTTTTGTAAGGGGACAAGTCCCAGGTGAGCATCCTGTCTGTCTCACCCTGTTTCTTCCCCAGTGAGTTTCTGATCTGTTGACCAGTTTCAACCATATCTGACAGAGCTGGCAATCCACAAAAGAGTACGTTCTTTCAAAAAGAAAGACTTAAGCTCTGTTTGAGAGAGTGAGTAGTGGGTTTTGTCTGACACTGATAACCCACGTGGGAAAGGGCTATTGAAACCATGTTTAATTAGTCCTGTTGCTTACAATAGCCTTCTGACTTGAGCACCTGGATTTTTAGTCCGCTTATTAGCATTTCCGTATCTCAAGTAAATCAGTATCTATGGAATGTGAAAGATTTTTGAAAGACCTTGAACTAAGAAAATGCCTCTTCTATATGACTTTTTAATTTTAGCTTAGCTAAGTTTTTGCTTTCATTATTGAGACATAAAAGTATACTCCAGTGGCTTGTTACTACTTAAATAGATAAGTAATAACTCAGTGAGGACTGGAGTCCTCGCTTTTCCATTCACTGTGCAGGAGTGGTGGTTGTGCTTACGCTTATTGCAAGTGACTCTTCTTGTGCTGAATGTCGAGAATGAAAGGTGATGTCTCCCATCAGAAAATAATGGAAATCAAAATGTCAAAGGTCTACATTGCGACTCCTGGTGCGGCAGACAGAGTTATTCTAACTCCCTAACAATTGGCTTAGATGTTTACGATTTTTCTCCTCTAAATGCTACAGCAAGCTTACCTTGAATCCTTTATGCCAGACTTTGATTTTTCAGTGCTTGCTGTAACACTCATACTTAAGTCTTACAGGTAAAACAGCACATTTTTCTTTGCTGTCCATGATCAATAGGTATCAAATTGCTTCTTTCTTAGGGCAATTTAGGTATTCCACTTGCTTCCAATTATGAAGATGTCTAATAGCTATACTTCTGTGAAATTTTTCCATTACAATTCTTGGATTGTTGTAGTTTGTGTTTAGATGAGCTGATATCAGCAAATCTTTGGGCTGTAAATGTTTTAATTATACGATCAAACCATTGCTAAGCTCAGACTTTTATATAAGAGTGCTAATATTGCTTAAAATAGTTACACTTTTTTCATTCAATGTGTTTCCTGCTATGAAAAAAATGTAATGACATGATTTTGCATGTTTTGACCTAGGAAGAAGAGGATGAAATGGACAGTTATCAGGTAAAAATTTTGAATTCTCTTTTTTTACAAACTCAGACATTTACAGATTGAAACATGTTAGAGGAGGATCAGCATTTTATCTTTGCTGTACTGGTTGGATATGCAGAGAACCTGTCTTCTGAAGAGACTAAAATTAGATTAGACTGTTATGCTACAAAGCTGTATGGTGGATTAGAGAGGTGAAAAGGGAAGAACAAGGTGCCTTAACGTGTATTTCCAAAACAAGGTGCAATTGCTTTTTGGTTTTGGTGTTCGGGGGAAAGGAGTCTTCCTTCTTGACAAACTATGGTTAGACTGAGATTGTCCTCACTAAGAACAAGACTAGGCATGGTGGTGTTGAAGGACCCAGTCGAAATACTTCATGCTGTTTCCTATTACGAATGTGCTATATGTATAAGAGCAGGAGTGTACTGCATAGTAATCAACCCTTGGGCAAGCAAGGGGGATTCTGTTCCTGGAGCCTTAAGACAGCAGTGATAAAACTACTGAAATCAGCACTCTGTTTTTTTCTATATAATGCCACAGTAACATGAGTCTTAAAGGGGAACTGACGAGGTACAGTATCTGTGATATATTTTTCATTTTCTTGTGAATAACTTTAACAAAAGCACATCATCATCATCATCATTATAGATCTCAACTTTGCATAATGTGAGCAACCAGAGATTTAGGTTTAATGCTCTCTGACAGATTCTGGCATGCTTGTAGGGGTCTGCGGGTGAGTAATACAACTAGTTCACAGGCTTGCATCTACCCATTTTTCTTGACAAAGTGTTTGTTATAGTTTGATGTGAAATGAATCTGAACTGCTGTTGCCATAAAAGAGGCTCGCCTGAAGGCATCCCACAGCTGATAGCTCATCTTTGTGGCACCCAACATGCTGCATGTAGAGCATCGTTCATCATTTCTGAGCATTTCTACACCAGAGAAAAATGAACTGAATGTTCTTAAGGATAGTGAGGTGGGGTTTTTTTGAAGGACATGAGCACTTAAGAAAAAATATTTTAAAAGTTGCAAATGCCATAACCAGGGACAGTGGCACGGTGCAGGGCAGGGATAGATTCCTAATATGAGGCTGCTAAACACTGAGTGTGAATAGTGAGTCATGGATAAGGACTGGGGTTTCCAGCTTTGCCACAAGGTAGTGGTTAGTGAGTTTTAAACTAGTCTAGGGGCAAAGAAGATGTATAAAGTGAAGTTTGTTCAGCTGGGTAGTTAAGAATAATGGCTAGAGAAAGATATGCCTCAGGCTGGCAAGCAAAAATACTTCCGATAAGCTGTGGAAAGTTAAGAGTTTGGACCTGTGAAGAAAGGCTAAGAGAACAGCGGTTATTTAACCTTGAGAAGAAGAAAAGGCTCAGGTGGGATCTTGTCAGTATATGTGAATGGGAAGGGCTAAAGAAGACAGAGCCAGGCTCTTTTCAGTGATATCCAGGACAAGAGACAATGAGTCTCCACTTCGCATAAGAAACTGTTGGTTTGGTTTGGTTTGGGGTTTCTTATTTGGTTTTGGTTGTGGTTTTTTTCACCATGGTGGTGGTCAAACACTGAAACAGGTTGCCCGGAGAGATTTTGGAGTTTCCATCTGTGGAGATATTCAAATCCCAACTGGACATAGCTCTGAGCAAGCTGCTGTGGTTGACCCTGCTTTGGACACAGAGCAGGGTTGGACTAGACAATCTCCAGGGGTCCCTTCCAACCTCAGCTATTCTGTGTTTCTGTTTAAGTTGTCCTGCGCGAAAGAAAATAGAGAAGACCTAAGCGATTTATTGGAGGTCTGCTCTGTCTTTCTTATCTGCTCCTTGGGTACTGGATGAGCAGAAGGGTTGAGGAAATGTGTAAGCCACAAATAGCAAATCTTGGCTTTCCTAGGCCGATATTTACCATGACTGCTTTCCTCTTTACAGGATAGGGATTTGGAGAGGCTCCGTCGGAAATGGCTGTGTGCCTTAACGAAGCGTCAGGAGTATCTTGATCAGCAATTGCAAAAACTCGTTGGGAAGCCTGGTAAGCAAAATACTATTAAAGGTAACAACAGTGATAGGCTGAGAGACATGCGCACACGCTTTATCTTAATATATTGTAAAGTTTAGAGAAGTTGTTAATGGAGAGTTGAATCTCTGAGCAGTAATTTGCTATCAGTGACACTGAAGTTAGAGAAGTCTATATAAAACTGTTCATTCTTCTTGTATACTGTTTCTTCTTTGTGTGCTGAATTTCTGAGCAGAGTGGGTTTTATTCTATTATTGATGGTATAAGATCGTCGACACGTGATACAGGCACCGAGTAAGAAATGCTCTCTATTGTCCTGACTGACGTGCTGCTTCTCCAGATAAAACAGAAGATGATGCGGATCGGGAGGCACAGCTTTTGGAGATGAGGCTAACGCTCACTGAAGAAAGGAATGCTGTAATGGTTCCTTCTGCTGGCAGTGGGATCCCTGGAGCTCCAGCGGAGTGGTATGAACATACATAGCCATATACAAGAACGGATGTAAAAATTATGCACGGCCTGTTCCTGGCTTGGATTTTTGCCATTTTTTGCTTTCCTTAATCTGGCCTCTGTACACTGTATGAGGAAAGTTGTTAAAATTAGGCCTCTTGCTTAAATTATTTTATTAGGCTGTCTATCTGAAATCCAGAAATGCTGTTTAGTAAACGATACTATTATTGATCAGAGTGTAATTATGACCTTCTGAAAAAACGGAATCAATATTTATTACCACTGCATTTACCATTTAAAAAAATTAGCCAATATGTTAATTACCTAGTTCATTCACTTAAGAGGCTGCTCTGTCATAATAAAACTGCATCTACAGGAGCATTTTGTTGCACTCCTGGTTTGAGTGCAAAGTCTGTTTAGTCAGCAAGTGTTCCATGTAATTTTCTAAACATTAAAAATAGTAAACTACACTAGACTGAGATTGCCATACACTAAACTGAGCTGTGAGTAACAACTGCAGATAAGGAAGCAAGGTTGTTTCCCTTCAAACCTCTTGTCTTCAGTTGCTTTCAACTTTCTGAATTTTTTTTCTGAGCAAACCTCTAACAGTATTTTTTGATGAAATTAAGTATCATGGAAGTTTAAGCGGAAGTTTGTTAAAGCTAGGACTTCTGAAACATAAAAATGACAAATGCGTGTTGGAAATACGTCAACTTTCACATCAAAGTATTTCACTAGGTTTGAAAACAGTGGAGCTGCAGGGAACTTACTTGAGGAAGAATCTGTTTTGAGCACATTTACACCAGAGGAAATGTTTAGTATGATTCAAGCACCATATATATTACATAAGACTCCAGCCTGCTGCTCTTCACCATAAAGTTCATCAAGTCCAAGTTTGTCATAAGATGGCTACAACCCTTTTTTTACAGCTGAGGTTGCAACAAGGAGTCTTAAAGTCTTTTGTGCTTCATGTTACATTTTGAGTACCTTAAAAGTGCTAGGCCACAGAATATTTCATTTTAAAAACAAATAAAACACCCTCTTTGTTAGCCCTTCTTCCATGATATGAAAGATGGGTTAAATGGCAGCTTTGACTCTTAAATATGTGTATTTTGTAAGAAAGAGTAATAACTGTGTAGTGTGGCAGTATCGATGCTAGTTTAAAAACTTTGACACTGGATTTTCTGATTCTCACTCTGCTGTCTTCACTGCCATCACTAATGCAGAGGGGATTGCATTCAATAAATGTGTGTGTCAGAGTAAATAAACTTAATTTTGCTATTAGCATTTTAGAGAGAAAAAACATTTCTGAAAGCAGAGGTCAAAGAATATAATAATTCTAAGAGAGCTGGTATAGAAGAAATACCAATTTAGTTGAGTCTCTCGGAATCTGCAACAGTAAATTAAAAGAAAGCTGTTTGCCAAGGTTATCAATGGTCTGGCTTAAAATTGCAGTTGTACTGAATGTACTGTGGGCTTGTATCATAAGGTACGTGCGTTGGGTAAATCTGCATTAGTTTAAATGCCGCCATTGTCCCTGTCTTATGTTTTAGGACTCCTGTGCCTGGTATGGAAACTCACATTCCTGTTATTTTCCTTGACTTGAATGGTAAGTGGTTCTTAAAATGACAGAGTACTTTGAAACCATCTTTGTTCAACCGATGACATTATAGAATTTAAGCAAGCTAATAAAATGAAGAAATGCCTAGAATGGCAGGTAGATTAATTTGAGTGCACATTTTTCACTGAAACATATTGTTTAATGTTTCAAAAAACACAGCATTATATATGGAAGGAAGCACAGGTTTTAAAAATCCCAATGTTTTGCCAATATTTAATAAGTAAAATAGAAATAGTAAAATGAGTACACCTAAGGGAGTGAACAGCAAAAGCCAGTGTAAAGAAAAAATTATTGTTCGCAATGTTCTTTATGAGATCTCACAAGGATATAGCACTGATGCTATATCCTGTCATTTCTTTACTGGTGACTTGGAAGAAAACGTGAAGTCACTGGTAATAACGTCATGGCATGATAAGATCAAGTTAGTTTTACAGAGTGTGATCATATATGTTTCTTTAAACAATGTAAGTTTCAATACATCATAGAATCATAGAATCGTTATGGTTGGAAGATACCTCAAAGATCGTCAAGTCCAACCATCTACCCAATGCCACCATGCCCACTAAACCATGTCTCAAAGCGCCACATCTAAACGTTTTTTGAACAACTCCAGGGATGGTGAGTTCACCACCTCCCTGGGGAGCCTGTTCCAATGCTTAATGGCTCTTACAGTGAAGAAGTTCTTCCTGATACCTAACCTGAACCTCTCCTGGCGCAACTTGAGGCCATTTCCTCTTGTCCTATTGCTAGTTACCAGGGAGAAGAGACCAACCCCCACCTTGCTACAACCTCCTTTAAGGTAGTAGTAGAGGGCGATAAATATCCAAATACATCCAAATACAAGATCAGATTTGAACGATGTATTTGTGAGATACTTCTACCAAAGATGGGCAGTTGTAGCCGAGAAAGTGGCAACCCCAAAGTAGTCCAGGGAGCCAACAGTGCCTAATCAGTTGAACAAATCCTTGTTAAGATGTTTAAAGGAGAGTTAACACTTGGATTAGAAGCATCATGTGAGAGTGGGGAGGTGGTACTCTGCCTGTTGTGAACAGGTCTTTGCTGCAATGCTGTTTACATTTATGGTTTGTCACCTCAAAAAGCGCATTGACATATCAAATGGCTTCAGGGAGGAGCTAGTTAATAATTCATTCATGGTAAGGGACTTGAGCCAGAAGAGGTTGAGCTTCTTCTCAAAGGCCAGATTAAGGGTTAGTTTAATCATGATCTAAAAGTACTTGTTCAACCAGCAGCTTATCTTTATTTAAAAAAAAACAAAAAAAAAACCACCTAACTAGTGCCAAACGAGCAATGTACCTTGTATGATTGAGCAGTAGTGCTGAAAATATACCTGGGGGCAAGGAGGGGATACTTATAACTGAGGGAGGTTCACGCACAATAGAGGACTGACTTTAGGCACGCTTGAGTCTGTGTCCCCAAATCTTTGTGCACACTTTCTGTATGGAAATGGGCTTCTTTTTGAAGTGGAGCAGTGCAGGGAGCTTTCTGTACCTTTCTGTAGGTAGAGTGTAAGTAGCCAAGCTGGGGAGTTAGTGATAAAAATGTGAACTCATGACTTGCTGGATGTTTTTGAACAGGATAATTGCTTTGTGTCTCCTCACCTTCTGCATTCACTTTTGTTTCTAGCTGATGACTTCAGTTCCCAAGATAATCTTGATGACCCAGAAGCAGGTGGGTGGGATGCTACTCTTGTTGCAGAAGAGGAAGAGGAATTCTTTGAACTGCAGATTGTGAAGCATCATGATAGTGAGGTAAGCAGAGATGCGACCACTGTATTTAATTTAGGAGTCTTTTAATTGCTCGCTCTATATATTCAGATGTGAAAATAATGCATCAAAGATGACATATAAAGGATACAACACATGTTCCTTATATGACTGACTTTGTGTTTTCAGGGAATATTTGCTAGGAGCATAACCACAACTTGAAAAATAATAAAACTCAAAGATCTTCCTGCATCTAAATCCAAGCATTACAAAAGCTTGAGATTCTGAGTTCATGTTTAAAAAACAAAACAAAACAAAAAATCAAACAAAACCCCTGAGCAAATGAGAGTGTGGAAGGCCCTAGCTGAAAAACCAAACAATCTTAACTGTTGCTATGGTTAACATATTTACCTCTGCACTGTTACATTCAGTATACTCTGTTCTGCCACATAGCTCATAGTTTTACAACATTACAATTGTTGGTTTGTAATTTTTGCTATTAAGCATAGAATCTCTGATTTATTTTTTTACCTTGAAATTTTGCTCCTTACTCTGAATCTTACTTCTTTCTGTATTTTTAGAAGAGCTTTATTCCTCATGGCTTTGGTAGGTTTTTTGTTCTGTTTTGTTTTTAAAGCCTGGAAAGATGACTATCAGGCCTTTTTCTTATGGATTGAAGATAAACCATTTAAATCTTCAGTAATATTTGTATTTTAACATTCAAGAAGAGAAATTCCAGCTTTTTACTGTATTGCTAGAAATGTTTCAGCAAAGTTACTTCTCAGATACAAACGGGAGAGTTTATGCGGTGTGATGGAAGATTTTCACTGCAATCTCTGTTGCTCTCTGGTTTATCTTAATAAAGTAGGCCAAATAGTCCTGTAGTTCTGCATATTTTATAATTTATTTGCAATGATTGTGGATAGTTAAAGATCTTTCTTCAAGAGGAAATGTTCCAGAGTTTGAGCAAGTTGGCATTTTTAATCCCAACATCTTCATTTGGCAAACTAATCTTGATTTTTTTTTTAAATGGCCTCTTCTAAAGTGCAGGGATTTTTCTTCATAGGGAGCGAAATGGAGAAGCTGACTCTCAAAATTTATGTATTATGTATTTTTGTTAATTATGCTTAATTAATTACAGTTAATTATACACCTAATTATGCTTATTAGAGGATACATTTTTTTTCCTTTGCAGGTGAAAGCAGAAGCCTCATGGGATTCCACAGTCCATGACTGTATCCAGCTCAGTAAAGGAACAGCAGCAGATGAAAGAGTTTACCTTATCGTGAGAGCCACTGTCCAGCTCAGCCATCCTGCAGAGATGCAATTAGTGTTACGCAAGCGCATTTGTGTTAATGTGTATGGCAGACAGGTATATCTTTTATAATCCTTCATGCTTTCACTCTGCCCCATGTTTATCACTGCTTGAAGAGAGGAAGGCTGTGATTTTTGCAATATGCTCCTGCTATGACTCTTATTTTCTTGCATCTCTCTTCCTCTCCGCCTGAATGGAAGCACCTTATCAATGGCATGCATCTAGACTTTAAGCTGCCAAGTAATTTTCATAGTGTGTTTTATATTGTGGATGATAATGCAGCTTTTTTTTTTTTTAAAGGCTCAATGGCATCTAAGTATGAGAGATTCGGTGTTACTTGTATTAACTACTAAGTTCTTTATCCCCCATCACTGGAAAAAGTAGAAAGCGTTAACTTCTTGTGAGCTTGGAGTTCATGTTTTGCAAAAACTGTGCATCCGAAGAAACTTGTGTGTTTCCCTACTCCTAAAGTATGTTCATACGTTGCTGCTAACCATTTCTATTTATGCATCCAGTTATTTAGAGATAAACTAGCAATATTTGGAGCAGAGGTCCCTTTGTGTAATTTGTCGAAGTTAATCACTCTTGGTCTTTTATGTTTTCCAATTGGCTTTGTGCTCTTACGATAATGTGTAGGTGAGAGCAGGGCATTTGATAAATGGAAAGCAGAAGGCTGTAATTCCATTTGCAGCTTCATGTCCTGAAAAATATTTAATTCTTGAGAAAGATGGTGAGGAAGAGTTTGTTCAGCATTGTCTCAGAATCCAGCTTCCCCTGGCAGTGATAATGACAAAGCAGAAAACCTGAATTGTTATTCTGTTTGCACATCTGTAGTTAAAATCTGAAGCGAGAGCAGAAGAGGTGTGGTCACACCTAGAAACTGTGTAGGCAACTCTAAACTGCTTTTAGTGCTAACTATAGAAGAACTACAATTCTTGGTGCTTCGATCAGGCAAAAGCTTTTTCTCAGAAAGGGAACAGTGAATTTTTCATCATACAGAATGGAAGAATGTATTCAATAGATAAATTGAGCATGCCAATAATTACAATAGTGTTAAGTCTTCATCAGTGCTGTTTTCTACAGATTTAGTCAATGATGTGTTTTACTTTTATTTGACACGGAATCTTTGGCTTTCTTGCTAGGTTTCTAAAAATCCTCATCAATAACCTTTCCCTGGTGTTCGTCTCAGCAGCATCTTTGAATGACTCATCTCTGCATTAATTCAACAGTCCAGTTCTTAACCCCGCAAGGCGCCAAGTCAGCATAAACAATGACCATGCCCCCTTAAATCATTCTTCATAACGATCTCTTTGGTCAAGAATTTAATGCCTGTACTTGTCAATATTCAAGACAAGTCACCTAGGGCGCTATCAAAAAAAAAAAGAGCCCACCTCTAGAACTAGCAGATGCTTTGTGTTCTGGTTAAACGGTCACCTTGCAATGAAGGAAGTTGTTCCTTTCTATGTATCTGAAATACAGACAAGCAAACGATTTGTCTCCAAATTAAAATCTTTGACTCTTATTTATTGGCTGATCTTTTAGGTTTGGACTTCTTTCATTGTAAACTGTATTTACTTCAGTTGAAATATGTTAAACCATGTTTTCCTTAAAGCAAGAAATGTTTTCCCTTTTTTTGCCTCTCCCACAGGGTTTTGCCCAGAGTTTCCTCCGAAGAATGTCTCATCGAAGTTCCATTCCTGGCTGTGGTGTCACTTTTGAGATAGTCTCAAATATTCCAGAGGTGAATAAGAAATCAGAGTATCTGAAATTGGCTAAGAGTCTCTAACTTTCTGATTTTTCCCTTATTTTGAGCATGCTAGCTCTTGCTGCTGCAAGCATGAACTATGGTTCTTATAAAGGATTGAGCATAGTCCTTTACATGCTGTGACAAGGATTGAGCATATTCCTTTACATGCTGTGACTTAGCAGCAACCTGTGTTTTATCAGTCTCACTATGTATTTTGTTGAGTGAGCATCTATTTGTCCTTGAAGAAACATTTTAAAGAGAGAGAAAAAGGGGAGTAAAGATGGGTAGGTGAAGTGCCTAACGTAGGGAGTATGAGAATATGTAAAAAATAACAAATTGGCATTTTCTAAGTAATGTCTTTATGCAACTCTTGATTCCTGAGCATATTCCTAGTTAGATGCTAATCCTTTCCTTCCAAACAGATGCTCTATCAGAGCACTTGTAAAAACATTAACACATGAAGAGCCAAAAGTGATTGCTGCCTGATTCTGTCTTTTATGTTCTGCTGTATTTAGCACTCTGCTTTGAAATATTTCTCAAGCAATGTTCTATTTTTTTTCTTCCAAGTCACTTGAAATTTTGTTTTCCTCACAGGATATATAATGGCCTGAATATGTTTGAGCACTTTTTAATTACAAAATATCTGAATGCAGCCCTTTTGCTAATCGATAGCAATGTTTCACTGCAGACTTTTAAAAAACAAAAGAACAGTAAGTGTGTATAGCTTGAGATGTCTGTGACAGTGGTAGGAGCACCCATGCAGTTGGCATGGCACGAGTTCCTTCAATGTAACGAGGCTTATATTTAGAAATTTCCAACAAGACGTCTGAATCTGCCCCTGAGCTTAAGGGAAAACAATGTTGAATCTGTCCTACATGTTTTAAAAATGCATTTTTCTCAGGGCTCGTGGGAGATTTTTATTTTATTTTAGAAGGATGTTATTCCTTTTCATCTTCCTAGGATGCTCAAGGAGCTGAAGAGCGGGAGGCACTAGCCCGAATGGCAGCAAATGTTGAAGATGCAGCCTCAGCTGACTCTGAAGCCTATATTGAGAAGTACTTGAGGAGTGTGCTGGCTGTGGAGAACATTCTCACCTTGGATCGTCTGCGCCAGGTCTGTGTTTAAGGCTGTAGCAGAGAGCAGAGAATACGCTCACTGAGAACAGTGTATGGCAAAGCAGCTGTTCTCCTAAGTGCATACAATGGCTAACAAACCAAAACCACCACTTTGGTGCATACCTCAGCCTTGCAAAGTGTGTGTGTGGCAAACATCCAAAGAAGCAAATGTAGCTCTCTTTACAGAGATGTTCTCACTGTCTACCTGCAATATGGATAGATGGGACTGGGAGCTTTATATTAAATGCACTGTTATGGGATGCTTGGTTTGTTTTTAAGACTGCATTGCTAATTATGGTTCAGAAAAAGTACTTGTGTGGCATTAGCTTTTGCTTTCTGAAGCTTGGGCTTTAGTAATAGTTTCCAAAGTTGCCTGTAGAATTCTTGTCATTTTGCCCATATTCTACCTTGAAGTAACCAAACCTGTTCTGTCAATAAATAAGACATTGATTGGGTTAATCTTAAGTACTGTAACTTGATCTGTTTACCAGGAAAAATACAGGAGAGAAAAACATTTATTGAAAATTCTTCTTCTGGATATAAATTATGCAAGCACAAAAGAAAGTTATGCAAAACAAGGTAGAGTATGTGCCTGCCCACTATAAATTAATGGTGAAGTGTGGTGCACTCTAAGTATTGGAAGCAAGTTCCCCGTCATATATAATTAGTATAAAGGATTAAAATAGGAGCTCAGCTAGGAAAGGGAGTCTTAGTCTTCGCACCTGTAAGTCATCTCCTGGAATCAGAACTAGCTGTAAAATTCTATGTGTGCCAATCAGCAAAATACTAGATGTTAAAGTTTATCCACTCTTACACTTCCAGTCACCTTACGTGCAAGTTTTAGATTAGAGTAGACTTTACAGACAGGAACCTGTTCAATAAGGCTGTTTAGAAACATTTTTCCTGTGTAGACAAAACTGTCCTGGGATGATGGAAGCTTAGATTCTTGCAGAACATGCATATTTTCTTTGTTTTGCTTCTCTGTGATTGGCAGGAAGTTACTGTAAAAGAGCAGCTAATGGGAAAAGGAAAACTCTACCGCAGGAGCCTGAGCTCTCCCAATGTGAATCGGGTGAGTATTCCATGCTGGCATCTGCAGCATATTGAGGGTAGCAGGGCCAGTCTTTCAATTACAGGTCCCTATGATGCCAGAGTCATGAGTATAGCAATAAATTTCCTTCTGCTTGACCCTCCTGTTTGTCTGTGCTGTTTGTGAGCGTGTAAATTGCTAAGCGGAGACAAATTTTGCACATATTCATGCTTTCATCATACAGGCTAGTATGACAGCACCCCCATAAATCCAGACTATCTGAAAAAGCAACGTAAACGGAACTTCTGCCTTTTTTTTCCTGAACGCTGAAGGTTTTTTTGATTTAGCTATCAAGTTGAAGATTTTTTTTTTTCTGTAGAAGATTTGAAAGCAAGTTACAAGTATTTACTGAACTTAAACTTTGTAACAGTGTTGTGCGTAAGAAACTTGAGACCCCTTGTCCAAAATTTGGAAAGAAATCCTTTGCTAGAACTGGTAATCAATCTTGTCACATTCTGGCTCCTTCCAGGTCAATAATTGGGATTTCACCTTTCATCTCTTGGATTTCAGGTCTGCTTTAACCGCAAAACTATTTCTTTTCACCCTTCCTTGTGTTTATCAAGATGCATGTTTATCAGTTGTCTACGTTTTTGTTAAGAAATAATTCTGCTTGTCTTAACTATTTCAGCTTTCTGGAAGCCGCCAAGATTTAGCACCCCCTTATAACCTGAGCAGTAACCGGGTAAGTATCTGAAGGTCTGGGAAATCTTCTGTAGAAAAAGGGGTAGCTACAGTGACTATACTATACCAGTTACAGGGGCGTAAGTGGGAAGCATCTGTAGATGAGGGGGTACACCCATGTGCTGCTTGTATCCTTGGGACTGTTCCTAAGACATGACTAGCGTTGGATGTGCTACACCAGACCTCTCTGGGAAAGTTCCCAGGTCTTCGTCAGTCATACAGCACTGCTGCCAACCGCTGTGGGACGTACAATGGCAGACTTGAGTTGAGCAGATGAGAATAAACATAGCTATCCATCGCACAGGAGTGCATTTATCAGGGGAAATTTTCTCATTGTCAAGCTTCAGAACTCTTCCCAAGCTTTCACCTGGGTGGATGCAAACCTTCTGGGTAAGGGACAAATTTGGGGTTTTATGTAAGTTCAGGTCCACCTCTAGGACAGAATAGAGGCCTATGAAGAGAGTCTTTGACCTTCAGAGGGAAACCAGCAGTCTTTAGCTTGTGGCAGGTGATAATTTGGCCCATTACACTCCTTAAAAACAATAGTATAGATCAAAAATATTTCTTTAAAAAGTGAAAGAATAAATTTGAACTTATTTTCCAAATCCTAGATAAACTGAAGGGTCTTCTCCTGATAGATATTCTGCCCAGCAAGCATGTAGTCATTTTAAAAGGGAGAATGTAGTGGTGACAAGGCATTTTAATGCATAATGCAGTTGCACGGAATAATAGAATTTTGATGTAGTGCTCTAGCATTGGTTGCTAAATCTGCTACATCTGGTCCATGTAGAGAATGCTAAAATATGTGCAGGTAATAAAGTGCTTATAGCAACTTCTACTTGGAGAGAACTGTGGGATGTTTCAATATTATAGGTTTTTAAAGCAAAAATTAAAGACCAGAGTTCTTAATGATTTCTGTTTTTCTCCTCCCTTTCCCCTCAATGATTTCTCTCATTGCATGTTTCAGAGTCCAAACATCCCAGCAGAGGTAATGCATTAGGTCCACCTAATGAGTGGGATAATAATTTTATCTCACTATAAAGTTTATTTTGCTCACTTACATGCTTTTACTTTCTGCTTTGAAGATGCTGCTGGTGGTGTCTCATTTGCATAGTACACAGCAAATGAATTTTGCCATTGAAAAGCCTGCTAGTAATACAGTGTGAAACTGGTACAAATGAGAGAAGTTTCTCCTTCTTGGGTGCATCTTATGGTTTGTTACACAGCTATAGCTATTTAATGCCATTTCTTGCAGTTCTTTGGACAGGGTGAAGTTATTTCAGAAACGGCCCCATCTCAGCTAAAAAAAAAACCAGACAGACATGAAAGCAAGCAAATCTATGCCAGTCGTGTACTTTAGCCTGGAGATGAGATAAACGTTGAGAGTTTCTTCCAAATCTGTCTCAGGCTTTATGACTTCAGATAGATCAGCGTTAATAACTCTTGATTTCTGTGAAAGAATGATTTTAAATTAATACTGGACCAGTGGAAAACATGTTTATCCTTAGTATCTTGTTAACACTCTTGGAGGAATGACGGTTTGTCCTTAGTTGTACCAAGCTTTGGTTGACCAGAGGTAATTGGTCATGGTTTGCATGGGATTTTGCAGCTCTTCGCCATGGTTGACGTAGCCGCTGACAAACACACTGTACTACTGTAACATGGAGCTGAGATTGTGTAGCTTACCTCCTTGCTTGCAGCGTGCTTCGTTTCAAGGCACTTGTTACTCAGGACATGGTGGGTGCAAACTCCACTGTTAGAAATTTTTGGTTTCAAATCGATCTCTGGTTCAGTTTCCATAACGAGATGAACAAAAGCTTTTGTAATCACAGTCACAAAATTCTTAAATGTTTCTATACCACACAGACATTATAAAGCACATTGATGATATCAGTCCTATCTGTTTTAGCATAAAGGATCTGACAATGGTTTGATATGCTGAGTTTCAGCTAAGTTAGATGTCTTTGTCACTTGCAGAGAAATTTAGTGAAAAAGAACTCTTTTCCAGCAGTCATAAATCATTGTTTTACCAGGAATTTGGTTTTGTTTACAAGTGACTATAAGAAATTGATCTCAAACAAGTGATTTATTATATCATAAGAAACGTCAGTCACAGGATAGTAACGGCATCCTGAATTGACTGCATTAATCTGTCAAGCCTGCATACTTTAATATTAGTGGAAGCCCTCGACACACTTCAGAATATTCATCTCCTTAACTTTTATTCCATTACTTCATTTTTCTCTCTAATTTTAACATTCCTTTCATTCCTGCCATCTTTACCATGAATTTTTAGCTTTGTGGAAAGGTCTTTTGAGTCTCATTGCTCTATGTAAATCACCATTCATACTGGTAAAGTTATGAATGTGGACGGTGCTTCATTCTTCAGCACTATGAATAGCCAGGACTTGTTCCCCTGTAAACAAGAATATTAAACAAGTTAGAATAAGAAGTAAAGATGGTGTTGGTGCAACTAAAACAGGCAGATCAGAAGTTTCCAGAATTAGGACCCGGATTCATCTTGCGGCCATGGTTGAATCTTTGTTACCACAAACATTCATGGGTGGTCACGCCCCCATGAAGAGCTAGAAAAGCCCTTCTGCAGGACTGGAGCAGAGGTGTGGGTTTGGCACATTTTGAAAAAAATTAAAGAATATCTCTGTCTACTGACACCACAGAGAGCTTCCAAAGAGCAGGATGACTCTCACACTGAGAGTGAAATATTTAAGTCACCACTGGGATTATTTTAGTAATAACTCATAAGATTAAGCTACCTAACTAGCTGAGAAGGCAAGGAGGTGCCTTCTAAATTTACTTCAGAAGACAGTCTTACAGATGTTTCATATGAGGTTAACAAGGCCTCACCTCTAAGTTATATCTGCTTGCTTAAATGAGAAAAAGCTAATTTTTGCTCCTGTTATCACTGCAGATACGGTTGCAGGAGAATGAGATTAATTTTATTTCATCTTGCCCATCAGCACATGTCAGGTGATGCAGGAGTATAGAGTCTCTTAGTGGTGGTGCAAGATACGAAGCTAGATTTTTACATTCCAGGGCGCTTACATTGAAAGTTTAAAAATTCAGTTGACTTAAACTGAATTAATCAGATGCACAAAGAATGGAAGGCACCTCTGACTTGTTTTACAGATCTTCGTCAGACTATAATCACATACCGATGAAAAACTTCATGAGTTGTTTTAATTTAAAATACCTTTGCACAATAGCTGTTCTGTCTTTGACAGTCATCCTTTCCCAAAGGTCCAGTAGTTTGTGGCTCAAAAGCCTTGTATGCAAAAACCAAGTAAGACAAGACTGTGCCACTTAACCTTCAGGTTTTACTGGGAACCAGAGTTTTTTTCAGCAGGTCGGTACCATGTAGATAAATTTGAATTATCTTGCTGTTCATGAGAACAAGTGCCTTTTGTCCCAGCTGTATGCTTATATTTAATTCCACATGGTCACCTTTTCCTAAGCCTTTTCTGAACTGCTAAAATAATAAAACACAAGAACTGTTCATTTCTCTTACCCAGTGGCTGCATTTTAATGGTCTGTCAACTTCAAGAAAAGAATTGTTGTCAGGTAAAGCCTACAGATGACTTAGGTAGTGATCACCCGTATTTGCTCTAAAGATTGTATGCATGTCAGTGCTGACCTGGAATAAATTCCCTGGTGTTTTTCATGGATGATATGTGAAAGAACGGAAGGCAGAGGAGAAGGAGAAGGTACTATAGAAATAAAACATTTTATAAACAGCTCTGTATCAAAATACATCAAGGGACATGCATTCTTCTGGTGGCTATTTTTGATCTGTTAAATTAAGTCACTTGACCTCTGTTTGGTCACTTGGCAGAGACCAAATATATTCATGAAATGATGGCTCCTCTGGGCAAATGATTTACAAGCTTCCTTCCTTTCTCTCACCACCCTTCTTGATAGAGGAAAGATTCACAGCACTGAAATAATACCAATTGCTTAGACTTAGACTTTAAGTGTTTTGGTTAGTGAATGCAGAAAGCAATCATGTGAGAGTGGTATATAACATGCGTAGGTGAAACTTGGGAACTTCAAGTTAATATAGTTAATAATTCTTACATTTTTTTTTTCTTTTTGTGAGATTGAGATGGGTTATCTTTCAATCCAGCTTAGTAAAATCAATCATTCATGAACTACCTTTTGCCTCTGCAGATTCTTTGCACAACAGTTGACCCTTTCAGTTGTCCCTGGTATTTTCTTTTGCAAATGTTTCTCCACCTGTTGCCCTGATTTACCTACTTTTTAGTGGTTTGCTGTCATCTCAGAGTTGAGGCTCACATTACCTCTAACAAATCTGACCTTCAGTCTAAAATGATGATCTTTCTGCCGTCTCCAAAGCAAGTGTTATTTAAACCACAACATGCCTTAAGTATATGGCCAGATAAATACTCTTCTCAAGTGCACATACCTGTTCTCAGGACCTTTATTTTTCTTAATCTGGCAAAATGTTTAAAATGATGTAGAAAATTTAGTCATCCATAATGTCAAGACTGAAGCAAAATCTCCTAAAGATCCTAAGAAAAAACGCTTTTCCTAAGGAAAAAGTCACTAAACATTGCCATTCTTTCTGTACAAGATGAATATTGTGAAAGTGTTTTTCTCTGTTGCGTACCTACTCCAATTTTTTCGACATTCTCCAAACAGCTCTAGAAAGTCCAGATACTTGCCTGAATTTATTTTTGTTGGAACAACGAAGGGCACTTCTGATTCAACAAATCACGATTCAGAAAATGATTCAGTTGCTCCTTACCTGCATTGAGTCAGTGTTCTAGTAAGCTAGAAAATTTTCCCATAATAGTCTTTCTGTTTCTTATGTCTCTGTGGTCTCCAGAAGCACTTAGACTTGGCCTATAGATAGAAAATTATTAAGACATGTCACCTTTATCCATTGGTTCTTTAGTAAGTGGATCATTATCCTAAGATCCAAAAGGATCACTAATCAAGCTTTGTTAGGTCCTCCAAAAAAAGAAACCTTCAGATGCTTTGCACTCTTCCCTAGTCCTTTTTCTTAACCTAATGCCAACATCTACCAGGCTGAGGGCAGACCAGACCAGAAGGCAACAAAACCAAACAGTGTTTCAAGATTGTTTAAGTCTTGTGATGACTTCCCACCAAATAGTCTTCTATTTTTTTTAAACTCCTTCAACACCACTGAGCTGGTGCATCCAAAAAAAACTGAATTACACTGAGATGTTCTCCCCACCTGGATAGAGTATGAACTTTTTTATAAAAGAAAAAAGGAGGAAGACAGTTTGAGCATAGTCTGACATCATTAGCTGTTTCCATGCTGGTTTTCAATGTCTGCTGCAGTGCGTGAAATGGTCAAAATGGCAGGATAGGAAAGCAGTCTCTGAAGCATATTTTGAATGGATTTAAAGTGGAGCAAGACTGCATGCGGTAAGGACACCTGAAAGAAACCTGCACTAGTTGAAACACAAGACTGCAAAAGCCTGAATAAGTTTCTGGGGAGTGGGATAGGAAAGACTGTTTCATAGAGGATTTTATGGAAAGAATTTTCCAGACATAGGTATGACTTTTTGATGTGTGTAAGATACAAATGAGTTGCAGGTCAAAGATAATGCTTAAAGTGGGGACTTAAGGTATGGGTAGAACAGTTCTGTCATCCATGCTGATAGAGCAGGAAGCTTTCAAGAAGGGCTTAAACACCAAAGTCCTCAAAAACACAAGACTAAACAAACCCTTGGTATTGCTGCTAGTCCCAGCCTGGGTTATATCAGTTTTGACACTCAGGATGGCTGCCTCCAGTGAACTCGGACATCCATTAATCTTTAGGTATCCCAAATGTTACTTCACAGAAACAGCGCCTGTTGTCTGTACGTCTAGTAACATGGATGTTAGCTGGCAGAGGTGTGAAGACGGGTGCTGCTCTACAAAAGTGCAAGTTACTTGCTATTCAAAGCAGGAGAGCTTCTATGGGACTAACTTATAGATCCAAATGGAAATGATTTTTGCTCTGGGCTGCTCAGTGTGACCTTCAACCCATTAGAGAAATCTATTCCTCCTATCCTAGTTTATTTATTATTTGTGAAACATTCATGACTTCAAGTTAGAGTTAAGATTAGTTTAGCTGCCTGTCATTTTTCTATTCAAGGTCGGATTATTTCCTTGCATCCAAGAGCATGAAGGTTCTTGAAGAGGCACATTTCCCCCTTCTTCCTCCAGGAAAAATACATGACACTTGTGATCTGGGATGTAGCAGGTCTATCCATCCCTTATGACTCCTTTCTAGTATGTTCACTACTGTCTTGTGAAAGTATTTATCTTTCTGTTATGTCTTTTAAAAGAAGAAACAAGATTCAGATACAGACACAATATAATATAGACAAGTACAGATACTGTACAGATCGCAGCATAACTCTTTACCAGAAGTGGGATCAGACTTCAGTTTATATCCGTTTGGCTTCACCATCCTGTCTTTGCAACCTCTGTTTCTGGAAAGGTGAAACTTCGCAAGCTTGTAGTCCCGAGGGCACTCTGCTACCTGAACAGGACAGCACTTTTCCACTAGACGTTAAAACTTCTTGTAGCATTTGAGACTAGATTCCTTTGACCCATAAACTCTTAAATGGATATTGAATTGCCTTAAGGTCTCCTATAAATTAAGTAAATTAGCACCCTATAGTTTTATTAGAGCCTACTCTAATAAATAGAGTAGTATAAGTAAATTGGAGCAAAGGAACTTGTTTGCCAGGCATTGCGAGTGTACCCATATCAGAAGTTTGTAGAACAACCACATGGATTTCAGTGCCTACCTTTCAGCCCTGCACACCTGACGTGGTGCTCAGTTTGGTGAAGCAATATACTGTCTTGTATCTACATGAAACTTTCAGCAGAGACACCCTCTGGGCAGTCACTTAGTGTAGTCATTGCAGACAAATCTGTAAATGATTTTACATATCAAGATGATAGAGTTAGGAAAAAACCAATTTGGCCACATATGTTCTTGACGTTCGTGCACTGGTGTGAAATACTAGCTTGGAGAGGCTCTGTTAGTCAGGAGACTTTGTCATTGAGCCAGTTTCTGACACGTAAGGTTAGGATGAAAGGTGCAAAACCACAGTGGATGTTTGTAAAAGCGAGGGAAATCGCACCTCACGTGCAGAATGCTGTGTACCTCCCTTGGGATCCATGTGAAAACCCAGCTAGAGAATCCTAGGACCTTGGGAAGGCAGGCGGCCTACTGCTTTCTCAGTCACTGTTCTTCCTACCTCATCTGCACTCAGGCTCTTGCAGGTCTGAAAATCATCAGGCTTCACCTTCATTAACCATGTCAAAACTCTAACGTATCTTTACTTGATCTTTTTCTTGACTCCTGATGTCCCAGCTTGTTGTTGTGTATTCCATCTCTCTCTTTTCCAGACTGTTAGAAAAACTGCAGTACTACAGTTGCTTCCTCTTGATCTGATCTACTCATCCGTCTTCTGACGCTAGGCACTAACGTCCAGCCTGTAGGTCTAAGATTTTATTTCTTCTCTTGTTCAGAGCTCTGTCTGTCCTTACCCCTTCTCTCTGACACTCTTCATCCAGACTTTACTCGTGGCTGCTTCCAGAGTACATACACAAAATATTAAGGAATTTTGGGCACACGGTACTGTTTTATTTTCACCTGGTTGTAATGTACTCAACTTCCACCATACAGCTGCACAATTGAGTGAAATATTGTAGCTTTGAGGTCTACAAGTGGACTTTTTCTGTGCCTTGATGCTGAGGGTGCTTATCTTTGCAGGACTGGGTGTTTCAACTAAAGGTGCCTCTGGGGAAGGATCTTGTTGTCAGCTCTGTGCATTCTGAACTTTGCAAAGGGGCTGTGCAGGCTGGTGTGGCATGTAAGCATTGCTGTACTTCTGGTGTGGTAACTTTGAAAAATACGACTTTTTTTTTCCTCTAGGGCCGATGGGAGAGTCAGCAAGATGTGTCCCAAGGTGCCACAAATTCCAGTAGAGGCATTAGTCCATCTCGTACCTCTCTGCCGGGCTCTGGGCAGCAAAACCACTCTCCTGATCCAGGTGAGGACTTTCCTAAAGCTAAGATGACTTCTCTAAAAGTGGAATGAAGTTACTGCAGCTGCTGAATGTCAGATAAAGCTGAGCTGCTTTCAGAGATGCAGAGAAATTTCTTCTCTGGAGCAATGTCCATGCAGTTCTCTTTCTGTGAACATTTAGCAGTTGTGGCTAGGCTACTCAGACTCTAGGCAGCTCTAAATAGCCTTTCCTTTAAATCTGATACTAGCTCTGCTAAGAGGTAGATGCCACATGTTTAAAGTTGTCTGAAGGTGCAGTCTTTATCTCAGTAGTTCAGTTTCTAAAGTCAAAAGTTAGCTGGGCTCAGAACATGCTATCTGTTACGTGAGTAAAACAGCGAAGACAGTAAGGCTACCTAGTGTTTTGGAAAATAAGCAGCACTGGAGTTGGATGGCTATTTTGCAGATGATGTGAGAGCGCCAAGATATATAGTAGTGATGTTTTGTATGTCTGTCTAGGTTTTCTCAAGGATCAGTAGTGTAGAAAAAGTGGCAGTATGAGTAAGGAGAGTTGAATGCCCCTAACGTTTTTTCTTTTTCTTAACTTACATCTTCTTATCATTTACTTCTAGTAAGTTTTGTAGTTCTCACTAAAATTGTGTGTTGTATGGACATCCTTTTTCGATTTCGCTTCTTGGTTTGGGTTTGGTTTTTTTTCTGCTTCTGCAAGCTATAAAGCATTTTATATTTCCAATTGCAAACAGCAAGCTTTTTCACACCACATGATGAAAAACATTTTCTGTATACTGGGGCCACAGATTAAGACCTACCAAGATTCATATGTCATTTCAAGGGAGGAGCATGCACTCAATGCTTCTCCTTGGCTAATGCTTTGACTCCTGGGAGATATCATCATAGCCTAAAATGATAACAGTTTTGTAATATTTTTTTAGAGCGTTTTGGGTTGGTTTTGGTTTCTTTCTTTTTCCTTTCCCCAAAGCATAACTGTTCTCATTTTTTAATTTTTCCAGCAGGTATTGGTAGTCTTGCCGCTTCCTACCTGAATCCTGTAAAGTCCTTTGTGCCTCAGATGCCAAAGCTGCTGAAGTCTCTCTTTCCTGTTAGAGATGAGAAAAAGGGCAGGCAGGCCTCTCCCCTTGCATATCAGGTAAAAAATTAAATCAAATAAGCTATGCAGTAATATTGGTGAGTGCTGTTAGACTTGCTGGCAAAGTGCTTTTTTTATGTTGTTGCAGTGCAAACCAAGCTTTTAGTCATAGTAAAGCCTGGTGTTGCATTTCCTCTCCATTCTGTCCAGAGATAGTGGAGCTGTTTAAACTTATTGATATACTCGGCCCACTTGGCTTTTTAGAAGTGCCAAGTACACTACCAGCATGATTTATGGTAATACCACTTGCAGCAACAATAGTAAAATTTATGAAGTGCACTTAGTGTTGTTTGTGTATTGCCAAGTGGAAAATGTAATTCTATTTTTAATTCGTTATTTCATATACCATTCCCTCCCACCCCTCACCCCAGCTCATGTCACCTTTTACCGTCTTCTGCTGTGTACCTTGGGCAGTTGCTTTTGTTCATTCTCTTATCTATTCCACATCTCAGAGAAGCCTTTGATTTTCAATTTTTTTTGAATGCTGTGCTGCAAAACTCCACCTGCTCCAGATGTGGCTTCTGTGCTCTGAGCATTAGCTAATGCATTGTCAAGCAGACTAGAAAAAGCTACTGTCTTTTAAAGAAAACAAATGAAATACAGAATCTCATTATAAATAATATTATCTCCTTTATTTGAGAAGCTGTAGTTTGTTTATAAAGGAAAAGTCCTCTGTAGTGTAAGTCTGGAAGATTTAACAAACAGTTAGGAAGATAAATCTGGAGCCAGATCTCATTTGTTAAAGTTAGTAGAAGTCCGTTCTGTCCATGCTTTGTTAACCATCTAGCTAACTCTGCTGTCGTCCTGTTCACTTGTCTGGAGTTATGGAAACATATTACCTGTTAACTTAGACCGTTCCTCGCCTCTTGACATGCAGACAAGTGTTTTAAGGGATATCTTTCTCAAAACAAGGCAAAACAAACCCTAAGATCCCCAAGCAACAATTTTTTGTGGTTGGATCCAGACATTCTGTTCCATCGTTTGCTACAACTAAGCTTGCTGTTACAAGAATGTCCCAGGACTACAGGAAGTTGTTTTGTCATTGTAGAAGTACAGTGAAATATTAAATAAATAAATAGAGCAAATATAAATACACTGACACTGAAATATTTTTAAAAGTAACTTATGACAGAAATAGCACAAATAAAAATAAGGCAGATTTAAAATATTTTTAGTTTGACTGTGGTTTTATTTTTATTAAAAAGTAATAAAAGAAGCAAATTTTACTCCCATATCTTATCTAATTTAATGCGTTACATTTTCATATTGCCTTTTGCTTACAACAGCCTTAGTGTTGAGACTGGAATCATACAAACTTACTCATCTATGAAATTTAGAGAATTAAAATTAAGACAGTGGCTTTCTTTAAAGGTATTTGGGTATCGAAAGATGCAAATAGATGCTCTTTACAATTGCAGTGAGAGCCTTTCACAACTTCTTGAATTCTTACTGAATCAATGAGAGCTGAGATTAGAAACGAGGCCTAATTTCCTGCCTCTAGTCTAACCACCTGTTCCCACTCCTTCCTACTGCTCAAGATCAGTCTTGTATTATTTGTCTTGAAGTCAGTTTTTTAAACTACAAAGACATCTATTTAAAGAGATTTTAATTTATATTATGGATGACTATGGAAACTCAAGCAATCAGATTGTGATTGCAACAATTTTTAACAGGAGGGAAAATGCTATTTCTGCTTTGTTTTTAAAAAATAAAAGCTAATATATAAACAGGAGTGTGTGCTGTTTTAATGCTTGGTTGCCTTGGAAAGCAACCTAAGTTTTTCTGTGACCACTGGATCTATGTAATAAAATGAAATCTTAAAGTTATTTGCTACTTCTAGTTTTGTGATAGAACGAGTCACTTGTATTACAAATACACCTCACTGGTTTGAGAGGTTTATAGATATTCTTTGCAGCTCTATCAGTAAGGAAGCAGAGCTTCTTCACTCACTTCTTCCCATTGCACAGAAGGGAGAGCAAAAATTGAAGGAACTGCTACAGAATTAACTACAACTTCTTCTGTGCAGCACAAAAAATAAATACGTACTGTTGCAGCAAGACTGGCTTTAAGATCATAAATATCATGTCCCGTAATCTTTCTTGCTCTTTCTTTATAACAGCCCGATGATGCAAATGTGGCCAGAGGAATTTAAATGGTGGCGGTGATGAATGGCTATTGTGCTCGGTGGATGATGGGGCTGCTATGGGGGTCACTGTTTGGCAATCAGCTTTAGCACCTTATCGCTAACCTGCCAGAGCAAGACAGCAAGCTAGTAATTCTTGCATAACTGTAGTAAACTACACAATGGAGAGGACACAAAAAATGATATTTCTGAGCCTCAGAAAATACAGAACAATGCATCTTAGTTCTGTGGAAGACTAAAACTTCAATACACAGTGGCAGGGAACATAAATGAATGTGCAAGGTGAGAGCAGGTGGTTAACTACAAAAAGTATAAGGGGGAAGCAAAGCCAAAAGGATTTTTCAGCTGTAATTGCAAAGGAATCTGACCCCTAAGTGGGAACTGATGGACTTCTGTTGCCATAAACAGCGAATTGGGACAGCTAGGTTGAGGAATAGAAATAACTGAAGGAATGCTTTACAAAGCAGATGGAAAGATCTAAATCATCCTTTCCTGGCTAAAAGCAAAAGAGCAGATATGTAATAATAGATTTTTGAACATAAATACCAAAAAGCTAAGTGGATCAGTTTATTACTTTCTCCTGGTTCATCAAACAGCTGCAGTGAAAGAGAATTTCCAAAGTTCTTGTCAAGCTCCCTTTTCAGTGCATATCTGTTACATTGTTTGAGAGTACTTAATTATCTAATATCATTAAAACCCATTCTGGAAAAATGCTGGTGAACCATCTTGAACTAGATGGCTGGCCCAGCTGTTGTATTGAATCTCCAATATGTTATAGTTCAGTTATCAGGGTTAGATGGCTGTACATCTCTGCAGAAAGCATCAGATTTGGTCTGTTGTGCCTTGTAAGCAGGGTCTTACGGCAAAGTTGATTTTAGTGCCTTTGAGCATCATTTCCAAGGGAGCAGTACTTCACTTTTTTCCAAGTTTATAACTGAAGTTAAGTTCATCATGACCAAGCAGCTCTCCAAGTGGATGCGTTACTGAATCTCTGATTCTGTGTGAGTAAATAGAAGGTGGAGTTCTGATCACTCGTTCTGAAAATACCTTTTTTATTGTAGCAGCTTTTTATTTCAATCCTGGCATCAACCTTGAAGTAAGCAAGCACATACAGAAGTTATCTTAACAAAATGGTCTTTCCCAGTGCTCTTTTTGTTTTCAGTCAGTGGTTGCCTGAGTTTCAGAAATGCAGAGACATTCCAGTCAAGGTGGTGGCAGCTAACAAAATTGCTGTCTTTGACCTTCTGATGCAAGTTTAGTAACTAATCTGGAGAATAATGAACCGCAATTAATGAAATCTGCTCTCGTATTCAAGTGTGTTTCTCAGACAGCACATAAAATAATTGAAAGAACTTCCTGCTCTCTAATTAGTTAGATTGAATTAATTTGGCATAATAGGATTCTTTATGTAACTAGCAGAATGGCTTCCGATGAAGCTGTTTATGTACCTAAAAGATTGGTTTCTGATGAAGCTGTTTATATACTTTTAAGTTAGAAAATGCCTATTTTCTCCATTATCTGAAGCCTTTAAATTAATTGCCAGTAGTCTGTAAATAAAAAAGCCAACAATTTAAACCTTTTTGGATTGCTGGATTGGCTTTTTATTTTCCTAGTCTATTCTTTAAAAAGCTTAGTACCACAGCGTGCAAGATTTAAAGCCTTGCCAACCCTTATTGCTGATGGGGAAAAGTTTAAAATACTTGCGTAAAATATGCAGGTGGATGGAGAATCAGAGTTTCATTTATCTCTGCTTAATTATATATGTACATGCTCTTGAAGCTTGTCATTTTTATCAACATGCTGAGGCTTTCATAGTGTGCACCAAGCAGAATTACTGTTCTTTACCTTATGACCCTGTTGATCTCCAGGAGCTGCCCGTGTAATTACATTTTAGGGCATCATTGGGTGCGGACATTAAAAACGTACATTTCAAAAATTTCATTTTCTTTTTTTTTGACATTGCTGTGGAGGACGCGTATTCCTCTCTGACCAATTTGGTAAGTGGACTTTGGTCACCTTCTTACTTGAGAACCTTGGTGGATGCTCAGATGTCGTTTTTTAGCAGATGGCTTAAATGAGAGATCTTGAGTCACAGCTATCTTAAAAAAACCCAAACCTCTTTAAATTTCCATGTGCGAATGTAATTCATTTTTGTTTTGCGGTATAGAAATGCAGACGAGTGACACATGGAGAGGGCAGCTCTCAATTTTTTCTCTTTCACCTTCTGATGCAGACGTAGTAATTAATCTTAAAAAATAATGAAATGCAGTTAATGAAAAGCTATCTAAATAGACAAAAGCCTTTTTCTGGCAGTGCATTAAAAAATAACAGTTTCATGTACGTGCATGGTGCATAGTATAATTGCTAGAACTGACATTCCTTAATCAAATGTAAATAATGTGGCCTCAGAGAACCTTCTTTAAAATCATGAAGACTTTTTTCAGAGTTTCAAATAAGGAATCATTTGGATCCTGTAATCAGCATAGCTCAACAGATCCTCTGTGACCGGCTGAGCTCATATGTATCTAGTTCTTGTAACTGAGTTGTTAGTGTTTTCATTTCTTTCTGAATTTAGTTTTCGCTATCATCCTCATGCAAATAGTTTTTAATGAGAATGAGTATGGAAAACTGACTTTTAAAGTTCTTAGAGCAAGCCACTGAAACTTCTTTATGAACTAATTTGAAAATGGTTATGAATTACCCTTTTAATCTGCCCAGACCTAGGAATGAAGTAATTTAACTGCATAGAAAATGGTATGGTTAATTTTGTATAAAGTAGATTAGAAATGTGGAATTCAAAAGTATTATTACAGGCTGAAATGTTCCACATATGGAAGGTGGAATAAGAGGGTTTTGTCTGCGTTAATATTTAAATGCACGGTGTCTTTAGAGAAGAAAACAAAAAACAACAAACTAACTTGTAGTGGGTTTCAGATTTCCTTTTGGAATGCAGGAGGCTTTATATTTGAATGATTAATGACTTTGAAAATATTTTAAAATTGAGGGCAGAGAGGAATATTGTTGAGGGGGACCTTTTTAAAATGGAGGACCTTTTTCAAATGGATTCAACTTTTTTGGCTATATACTAGGGGATTCAGAATTCTTACTGCATTGCTGTGTATGTCTTGTGAAAGTATTTCATCCCGAGTGCTCAAAACTGATTTAAGCCTACATTTAATGAACCAACTGTTATGCCCTGCTGCAGAAGTTTCCAATAGCTGCTTTTAAATGGTGATGTGAACATAATACTGTCAGTGTGACAGTCCTTGAGCTCAGTCATTCCTGTCTGCGGATGGTAAAGCATAGACAAGAGCAGTGGAAGTTTTCTGATAATGCCCTTCTAGGACTGTATCAACTATAACCTTGGCTAGACAATTTCTGGAGCTTGGAGGATAATTCCTGTACACGCTGGCCCAGTCTGATCTGTTTAATTGTCACTGAACATATTGGATGTTAACATTGAAGGATTTTCATCCAGTGACATGAAGTTGAAAGGCTTTGTACTGAAGTCATCAGTCACCATTGTCAGAGGCATTTTACAAAATGTTTAATGACATGGAAATACCAGATGTGTTTTTTCTGAGCTCATTGAAGAGGTTGCCGTTATATATATATGTGATATTGGATATGAAAAAGAATTCATTTAGGATTCATTTTGGTGCCTCTGTACGTGGGGTGAGATACACATTTGCTTTTCCTGTTCAAACTCACCAGTATAGCAGGTTGGTCTTGAGATTACGCTAATCACTAGTAACTTTTGATCACCTCGAAGTATGTGCAAACTGACCTCTCATATGACCAGAAAATACGTACTCTTAGAAATCCTTATAAACTCGCTGCGCAGAGTAGCAGGTTTTAGGAAAAAGACAATTTTTATTCTACAAAGATCCAAAGATGCTTTAAAGTGAATCACTTTCATGTTCTCTCTTACTCCGTATTTTGTCAGCTTGGTTGAAGAAATTGTGCCAAAAATTATCACTGTAAGAGGGTCATGTTTTGCCATTGGGTAAATATATATATGTCTAGTTTAGCAGTTGCTATCTACAAGTGTTTAATGACAGAATTTGGCTCTCGATTCAGAAATATTTTTCATCCAGTAAATGTCTTCACAGATAGTCAAACACTTTGTTTTCAGTATTCCCCCCAACTTGACTACATTTCATAACAAAGATTCGTTTTAGTACCCTTGCTACCCCTGTGAGAGTGTTTCTGCCCATCTGTTTCTTGTCAACACCAAAGTTGGGCAAGTGCCACTTCTCATAATTGCTTTTTTCTCCATGTTTTTCTAAACATTGCTTGGCAAAGTTATTGTAGTTTTGAGATTTGTCATCCTTTCAGGAGGAAAACTTGATGAGGAATGATTAAAGTGTAACGGTTTTCTTTCTCTTGCTGTTTGATATCAACTGGATTTTTAGATTTCATGGATTTACAGGCTGTAAGTCTGAAGGTTTTTGAGAGATAAAAAACCCAAACAAACACTTTCCGCTGTTTATTTGTTCAAAAGGGAGAAAAGGAAATCAAAGGAACTGAGAAACATCTTTAAATATTTTTTCTTAATCCAATTCTGAGTGCTTATCTCAGAGCACTTCCCAGAGATGGCACGTATACCGGGAGAAAATGGGACAAAACGAGCAGGTTGTGTTCTGGTGCCAGTGTGAGAGCCTGGAGCTGGCTTTAGCTCCTGATACAAGGTCTGCTGAAAAAGGCTGTTTCCCCTGCTATGTCAGGTCACAAACAGTAGCATTGAAGCAACAAGGACAGTGTTTTTCCTTTGCACAACCTTTCTTAGATGCCAAAATGCAACGCTTTTAGCATTGGACCACGGAGATATTTAACTAGGATAATTTGAATTCAACAGCCTTGGCTTCTCACTGAGGTTCAGCTGCACCTCTGCAAAAGGTTTAAAGTGCTATGTAAGTGCCTGCCTAGGGATTAGCCCTAATGCCTTGTGACTACAGATATTTTTTTCATTAAAAGGTGATATTTAATAGCTTGGCTTTGCACTCCCAAGATGGACCAATTCATGATTCAAAGATGGTTGAAGAGGAGAGAAAAAGTGTTCTGCCAAGTACTCCGCTCCCTTTAACACCGTGATAAGCTTCTCTTAAACCTAAAATTTGCAGGGTTTTCTCATAAAAAAGTTAATCCCTCTCCTCTCTAGTCTTTGTTAAAGTGAAACATTTGGCTGTTATGACAATCAAGTTATCCTTGCTTGTCTGAGTTAATACTTACGACGAGTCAGAGTACTCACACACCTCATTGCTCTAAGTTATCTCTGGACCCGGTCACAAGTCAGTACTACAGTTGTTTTCAGGTTAATACTTTTGTCTAGCTGATTGCCACTTTATTCCAAAGGAAGCTGAAGTTCTGGAGTACAAGGTGTCTGAAAACCACTGGGTCACGAGCCCTAAAGCTGTGTTTATTTTTAGGCTTCATTGATTTGTTCTGATTCGGGTCACCATCTGCTTCCTGGAGCCCCAGTGCAAGTCCTAGTAAGGATCTGAAAACGCTAACACCTTGTGCACCTGAAATACAGCCAGTTTGCTCTGAACCCCACATCGGTGGTGAACTTTCAATTAGCAGGTTTAATGACAAGCAAACCCCTCCTCTCCTGCTTTCTTTTATTGAACTGAAATTTTAATGTCTTTTAAAAAAATTATTTTGATCCACTGTGAACCTGTTGGGATTTTTGTCTGCCTTTTGTCATTTTATTTTTTACCTTGAACAACTGTGGTTTTATTTAATGCCTGACAATCTCTGTATAAATAATAGCTGTTCTTTTCTCCCATGTTTATGGGGGGGGGGCCTAGGATTAGTCATATTCCTGCTTTACTGTACTTAGAAGAGATACAAGAGAAGAGTACCTTACTCTTCAGCTGGAAAGTTTAAGTTCTTTAAACAGATTGTCAAATTCTGGAAATAGCTGTCTCGGAGATGAGCACTGCCTGCCTATTTCTACAGGAGTTCTCAAGTCCCTTGGAGAAAAAAGGAAAAAAGCAGATTGCTCCCTAGTTGTATAATATGTCTCACTTAAAGAGCTCTTTCGCTGAAAGTATGAACCTGCACTAGCAGTACGTTATTTAACAGTGCTAAAGAGAGATGTTTCTGCCTTTTTCTCCTGTCCCCTTCTCTTCACGCTTCCCTTTCCCAAGGTTCTCCATTGACCTGGTCGTCCCTTTCCCTCCTGTGTCAACAGTGCATGACAGCCCAAGTTGACAGCTTAGCCTAAGATTTATGGTCAAGTGTCACAATTTGCTGTTGTGGTCTTAGGAGAGTGATTATTTCAAATCTTTAACATAAAAACCTGAATGCAGAGCAAGCGAGGGCCATTTATTGTCAATGCCTTCATATCAAGCCCCATGCTATAAAAGAGAAGATACCGTTGAAACACAGAAGTGGTTCTTCTGGCGCAGGACCAGCACATTGCGATCAGCAAGTGGCATGTGTAGTCTTCACTCTAGCAGGCAGTGGTGACGCACTCTTTGAAAAGAAGATGCACAGATCTTGTTTCTGGCATCCTTTTTGAGTTAAAGTGAACAATGCTAAAATCTAAACTGAATTAAGATACTGGAGATGGAAAAAGTGTTTTGGAGATGGACTGAAGCTCAGGATTTCACTAGCCAGACCAGTGTGACCTCAAATCTCTTTGTCATCTAGTTGCTCAGTGATCTGTCTTTGACCGACCACATGAAAGAAAACTTTGTATGCAATTTGTACTTGTAGCTGCCTATGTGTCAAAATTCAGGGATGCTTTGGTTAAGGTTTTTACCCCTTCCATGTATGTCATCAGAATGCAATAACATAGCAATGCTCTGTCCTTTCAAGGCAACGGTTTGTTTGTGATTCCAAAATTTCAAATAGAAGTTTTAATGTTTACCAATTTGACCATATTTAATCCTTTAAGTGAACGATGCTCTGGTTTTTTCGTTCCTGCAGGCTGTCCCACGAATTATGGTTCAGTCTGCCAGTATTGATGCCAGCGCTGCAAAGATAAAACAGGTAAGCACATCCCAGGATGTGATGATACGATCTTCATGTTCACATGCCTGGAAACCGGAGGTGGCAAAAGCAACTGCTGGGTTAGCTACTTAAAACCTGTTGCACATCTACTGTTGCTTCGCTGTGAGACAATTAAATGCAGTATGTGTTGCTATGTTTCCTTAGGTCCTGGTAACATCTCCCCTTATATTGCTGGTTGCACTTTTATATTTGACAGCCTGGTTAATCACATGGTTGCATTAGCAGTTAACTAGCTAAAATTTAGCTGGTTTGCTGCTTTAAAACACAAATTGCTAGGTTCTGACGCTTTCTATAAACAGAACGTGTCTGTTATTCTGAGTGTTGAGCCTGATTCTCAATTTTACATTTTGAGCCAATTCATGATATTAGTGTGAAAAAAAGGCTCTTGCTAAGCTGGAGAAAAAACAGACCCTAAGATCTCCCACAGTTCAGCAGAACTTCAGTCTTATGAATAGCAAATCAGCCTTCTCCCACTGTGCTTTTATTGTCTTAGCAAAATGCATGTTATCTGAACACTGGAAAGGGAAAACCCAAAGAAAGAGCCGAGCTCCAGAGTCCACGTGTACACTGTCCTCCATGGAAAAGCTAAAAATATGTCTTTAATCTGCAGGAATATTTCAAAAAACTTTTCTGTATTACATTCACTTAGCAATAGCAAGCTAGCCTTTGGTTCCGAAATTCCTGTAATGCAATCAAATCCCTCTTCAAATGCCGCTTATGTTTCCAGTGGAAAAGGTACTTCAGAATAAGGTGAAAATCCTGTAGTTTGGGACACTTAACCACTAGATGGGATAAACCACAGAATTTTGAACAGTAAACAAAAATGTACACCTGAGAGTTAAGACAGGATATGTACAAATCTGCTGTCCTCCAACCACTTTTTTTTTTCCCCCTTCATATTAGCAGCCTCCTCCCTCACTCCCAAAGAGATTTAGAGACATCCTAATCTTTTAGAGTACATGTGCTGGCAAAAGATATTGATCTATCAGATTTAGTAAACTTTACAGCCAAGAAATACATCACTAAAATGGGCTGTTAATCTCATGAGGTGCAGTTAATTTCATACTCTGAAAGTGTGTGGTTCTGGTGGCATTGAGGTAGGAATGGCATTTGGAAACGGGGACATAAATGACAGTTTAGTTCAAGAGACTTGATTTATCAATCTTGAGAGCTAAGCCAAATAACTGTGAAAGACTTATAGATCATGGCTGTTTCACATTTCATATAAATCCTGCTATTCAAACAGCAAATGACCATTCCTGTAATATAAATAATTTTTCAGTAAATATTGGGGAACGTATTTCTTTTAGTTGACACTTTTCTTATTAATGGAAGAAATGAGCTGACAATCCTACCAGGTTTGCAAAGCTGACTTCGGATCAGCTTGCATCTTTTGGAGATTGCAGTTACACAGAGATTTAGATAAGCTGAAGACCTTAGTACTTCCCAGAGGCCTTGTATCAATCCTTTTAGCCCAGATATTTTGGATAACAGAGCTCCATGGTCCCTGTCCTCTTCTGTTTCAGATTAACCAAGAGGAAATAGGGAAACAGCCATCTGAAGCTGCAGTGCGGGCGTCTGAGGCGGACAAGAATCTGGAAAAGACACCCAAAGTGCCTTTGCAGCAGTCCACAGGAGACAGCCAGGCGCAGGACTCCCAGGAAGGACCTCCAAGTCCTCTGAGTGAAGCCTCCAGTGGGTACTTTTCTCATAGTGTCTCGACAGCCACCCTCTCGGAAGCCCTTGCAGCAGGAAGTGATGCTGTGGCTCCACCAGGAGGTCAGATGCCTGCGGTGAGTGACTTCCCAGCTCCCACTGTGGCTCAGGTCTCTTCTTCTGACATGCCAGGGCACTCGGACAGTTTTTCAGAAAACTGTCTCAGTACTAAGAGGGAGAGTCTGCCTGCCTTCAACCTTCAAAGTGCTCATGCAAGACCTAAAGACAGCACTGAAGTGAATGGAAATGATGCTTTGAAATCAAAGTCTTGCACATCTCCTGTGACTCAGAGTGAGCAGGCAAATGATGCCTCTGTAGCCACTGATGCAAAAACCTTTCTTTCTACCTCCACTCCAAAGAAGGAGTTGTTACCCAAACAATCAATGGAGTCAGCAGGACAAGCTAGGAAAAAAGAAATGGCTTCTGGGGCTTCAGAACTGGGGTTTCCCAAGCCGCAGATTCTTCCCGACCAATTGTCCCAGCCCAGTGTTGCAGCCTCCCCCTTCAAAATCCAGAAAGTCAAGACATCAGAGCTGAAGTCCTTTACAAGCATGCTGGGGACAGATCCCACATGTTCACTAAACACAGAAGAGCAGCAGGAAGGAGAAAAGAGCACATCCACTGCCCGTGGACTGAACCATAATGGATCAGAGATGGCAGAAGAAAAACTGGAGGTGACTTCTGACTCTGAAGATGCCAATGAGATTCCTGAGTGGCTGAAAGAGGGAGAATACGTCACGGTTGGCGCAAATAAGACAGGCACCGTTAGATATATTGGGCCCACAGACTTTCAAGAGGGAACATGGGTCGGTGTCGAACTGGATTTACCTTCAGGTAAAATATGATCTAGCCTGGGTGTAAAGCAGGCAGCATGTCAGAGTCTGCGGTGTTCATTTTAGTGCCGCTTTTTGTGAGGGGGGTTTTGTTAGCCATTACTGGGTGCATTTTGAGACGAGAAATGTAAAAGATCATTCCCTACTGTAATCTTTTTCCAGTCTGCCTTTGTAAACCTGGTCTCCGTGACCTCTGACTGCATTGTATCCCTTTTCAGTTATTTCATTGGCTTCTTACAGTGGAGGTAGGAATCAGGATTGCATTTACAATGCAGCTCGGTAAGTATATAGTTGCAGGAGACAGGCCTTGTGTCCAAAGAGTTCTCTTCTGGGCTTCTGCTCTGAGGATAAGGATGTCCAAAGTGCAACAGGAGTTGTGGGATTCATATGCACAAAGGAACATTTAGGCTAAATAAGTTGCAAAGTCTCTTTAACAGGTTACCCAGTCTCTCACGAGCTATTTTAAAATAAGCTGTAAAATTGCAAAAGACTCTGTGTGTGTATATATACATACCTGTATGTGTGAAAACCAGTAGGAAATAATCATACATTGACGACCAGGACATACAGATGATTTAAGGTTTCTTTCAGCTTCTTATTTGTCATTACTGTCTTACCTATACAACTGTAGACTTCCCAGAGTTTAGGCTCTAATACCTACTTTTTGGAAACCAGGATGCTGTTCCTGGGGAAGCTTTGTTCACATGTGCTGCTGTGTAGCCTGATGCAGAAAAAAACCCAGTGACTTCAGCACGAGATGAAACAAAGATGATGGCTGGCGTTTGTTCTCTGCTGGAGCCCCAGGCTTCATAACTGCTTTCCTCTGCAGGTTCATGTCCACTTTCATGGGACTTGTTTTGTCCAAGAGTAGGCAGGACTCGGGGAAGGCAGGGCGTGCTAGTGGAAAATTCAACAGACAAGCAGTAGATAGCGCTGCCTTTGATAGTAAGAGGGTTTGGTTTACCAAGGGCACGTAAAGCTCCTTATTTAAATCCTTTTAACCAAGCTGTAGCATTCCAAGTCTGCAGTGCAGGCTCTGTTTGGTGAATCAGCATGTCCCAGGGATCAGCTTGCCCACACTTGTCTCCGCTGCACACTTCCCTGGGATTGGAGCCGTTCACCAAGATAAATACTGTGTCAAGGATCCAGAACTCCCATTAAATGAGCAGTTATCTTCCCTGCACATGGTGTGCTCATAAAAGCTAAACTAGATGGTGTGTTTTCAGCTGGTTTCAGAAAACTCTCTGGAGTTTGCCATCCTGGAAAGCAAACTGTAGCTCTAATCCCTTTGAAAGTTGTAGACATGATTTTCAGTCCTGAATTCATGCCTTATTTAAAAAACAAAAAAAACCAACACAAAAGAAAACAAAAAAAAACCAAAACCAAAAACAAAACCCAAACACAAAAAACAAACAAAACAAAACAAAAACCAAACATATTTGCAGATGCATTTCAGTTTTGGAAAGTCACCTTCCCTCCCTGTCTGGCTACTCTAGTCCACAGTGCTAATTCTGTTAAGCTGTTTGCACATCCCCGGTAAGCATCAGCTTCACTGTCCGTGGAAGGCTCAAACGGCTACGAGATTTTTTTGGTCTGTTGAGGACTCAACTGGTGATGTTACTGGATAATTTTTGTCCCTTCTGTTTCCGCAAGGATTAAGTCCCTGATTTGTTGGAGCATAACTGGCCTCTAGCACATCTGGAGCTTCACTTGGGAAATACGGTCACAACCTTGCACCTTTGTCACGCTACAAACTGGGGTAGAAGTCCAAGTCTTTGGCCGTGTGAGGGTATATCAGACCCAAAATGGTAAAGGTGGTAGAGAGAAGGAAACACCCATAAGACAAAAGGGGTGACCTTATGTCATTTAAGGAGCTGTTGTATCTTTTCGCATTCCCTTAACAGATGGGAGGGGTCTCTGTCCTGGTACCCAGAACAGTGATCGTGAGAATTTTAAATGGTCTAAAGGGAGGAACAGAAAGATCTCAACAGCATCAGCATAAAGAAATTACTCTTTCTGTTCTGTGGAGGTTTTGTGACATGGAAACAGTAACTCTTCTCAACTTCAGACTCTCATCAACTCAGAAAACCAAGAGCTCTTTTAAATCTCTTTTTTTCTTTCCTTCCTGGTAGTTTGCTAATGCATCTGTTGCTGAGACGATTATTAATGAAATTAAAGAATTCCCCTGAATAGCAAGCGGGGAGGAAGAATAAGGTGGAATGTCCCATTCACAGTAACTGTCTCCATGCAGTGGCTTTGCTGGTGTTCAGCAGTGAAGTACACTGGTGTCACTGGAGCACAAGCCTGCAGCTGGGAGCCACCTGAACCAAGTCCAGCCTTCTGCTGGCACAGGCAGCTGCTTCCTCTAATCTTACAGTTTTATCAAGTTCAGATAGAAAACCAGCTGATGGGTTTTTTTACCTTCACTCCTGTGGGAAGGCTACTCCCAGTTCTCTACTCCCCTGGTAGTTGGAAGACTTGTCTTTGCATCAATAAGTGTATTGATCTTCAGATTTGTTTGCTCTCGTACCACCTTTGTCCTCTAGTGCTCTCTCCTGGGTATTTACCTTCGCAGTCTATTTATAGGGAAGAGTATCTCAGCATTTTCTTCTTGCTTTCTTCTTCTGGTGTCCTCCTAGCAGCTCACCAACACCATACGCACGGAATAAAAACCATTTGGTCTATCATCTTTCTTTCTCTTCTTGTCAAAGGTAAGAATGATGGCTCGATTGGAGGGAAGCAGTACTTCAGATGCAACCCAGGCTACGGATTGCTTGTGAAGCCAGGCAGAGTGAAGAAGGCCACAGGACCAGCAAGACGGCGGAGCACTGGATTGAGGTTGCAAGGAGGAACCGCTGCTGAGAACAGGAGGAGCGGCAACTTCTCTGGTTCAGCCTCCAACCTGGCTTCGCTCACAGCCCTGGCGAAATCGGAAGGAGGATCCACGCTGCGAGCGGAGAAGAGCCAGAAAAATGCAGAAAACAGGAAATCCTGGGCAAACTGAGATGGCCCTACCCCACCGCAGCAAACACTGTGCAACGCAGCCAGGGGAGCAGGTCTTCTAGCTTCAGGAAGTTAAACCAACCATGTGAACTTCTAGTTTGTGGCAAACACTAATGAAGGTTTTTTTTCCTCTGCTTTGGGTGATTGACATGTTAATTCTTTGCTTTGTCATGGTGCTGGATCTACGTCCTTTGTTTCCTGTTACAAATTGTGATGCTTCAGGGTATGACTGATGGCAGCGGTGGGTGGCTGTAAGCTCCGCCTTTCAGAGAAGGAAGAGATGTGTAAATTGTTCAAATTATGGCACAGCTTTCCAATAGCTATAAAATACTACCCACGCACCGGTGCTTCTCTAGGTGTGACTGGCAATTCTAAAAAAAACCCTCCCCAAAATAACGGTTCTGTTCTAATTTTGTAAGAGCTGTGTCCATATCGCGTAATGCATGGTGAAAGGGCAAGGTTATGAGGATTTCAGACAGGCAGAGAAGCAAACGTAAAACTTTATTTGGAAATAAAGAACCCCAACTACCCCTTTATTTAAAAAAGCAACAGCTCTTTGGTTATGTGACCTGGGACCAGTGCCCATTTCGATCACTGTCCTCTTGTCCCTCTCTCCTTCTGTGGAAATCGGCACAATCTTTCTAGCTGCTTTGTTGGGAACGGGAGAAGGCCCATGACCCACTCTGTAATATTTTTGATCCTCTGTTTTTAGGAAAGAGAGGCGTTGAGCGAATTTGCTGTCTAATCTGTTTAACGTGCACTCTCACCATGACCGAATCCCCTCTCTCCCTTGCCCCAAAGGGGTGGGACCACCTTCTCCTTTCTTTTACCTTCTGGGCCAAGAGGATTTTTGCAGAGATACCAGCACTTACGTGCTTCGCTGTTCCCACCCCACCTTTTGGAGACACTTGGATTTTTACCAGTTACGCAGAGGGTTGCTCACCTTGTAATGGGATTAATCCAGTCTATTTATTTTTATTTATTATTTTAAAGTATGAAACGTTTGCGCTTTACAATCGTCCACTGCCTGACGTTGCACAGAGGAGCTCTACTAGCACCATGCCGAGCGTCGATCCAAAGAGGAGGTGCCTCCGTCACCAGCTCAACCGTCCCCGCGGCACACGAAAGCAAACCCGGCTGAATAGCTGAAGTCCTCCCCAAAACTACTCTCTCATTGGAAGTGGGAGGTTTGGGCTGGCTTTTATAAACCTTGATTTTATTTTTGGTAACCCTTGCTAGTTTTTAACTGCCTGTGGCACAAATTATATATTACTGTACGCGCGTGTATATATACATGTGCACATATCGACGTACACACACATATTTTCTAACAAATCAAGAAAGGCCACAGACTTTTATATTCTGAGCTGTTTATGTCTTGTTTAGTCATCACGGGGGGATTGGACAGCTTCAGCAATAGACATTTTATCTACGTGGGGAATATTTAGGATGCTAAATTAATGATTAAACTTTCATATCTATCTAGTCGCTGCCTGTGCTGCACGTGGGTATCTAAGTGCCTTAGCCATCTGGTTCAGAGGTCCAAGGGAAAGATACATTGTCATCAAAGGAGATAGGGTTGCTTAGCAAAGGAGATAATTATGCTGATTTACTGTAATTAATATCATTTATGCAGAAGGAATAAAATTAAAATAGAAACTAATCTGTAGCAGAAATAAATGGGATGAGTTACAATGCAGCATGCATAGTACTGCCAGGGATTCGTGTATCTGTTCAGCTTTGTGTAACTAGTTTCAGTGTTTCCTACAGTTTCGTAAAGAAGTCTTAATATAAAATGTAATGACCAGTTTTTAAAGATATTTTTAGTGTACAGTTTTTCCTCCTTTTCCTTTGCACGCAACTCCTGTCTGTTCAAGCCAAGATGATGGGAGAAATCTAGTAGTAAAGAATTCGGACGCTAAAGTCCTGGGTTTTAAAATTGCAACTGTTTTTATAGACACAACTCATGCAACAAAACAACGTTTTGTTTTGGGGTATGACGAGTCTTGCTGATGAAAGACCACCTGCGAATTAATACGATGCCTCTTATGCTGCCTTGTAAGTTTTCTAAAATCCATCTTTACCGTTTTTCTAATTGCACTTTGTTCTGATGTGCTGCAGAAAGTTAGCTGATGTGAAACAGCCCCCTAACCGACAGTTGTGGTTTTTTTAGTCTCAGCATTTCATTTACTGGATTTAGGGATATCTTTAAAACTTCTCGATGTTTGCTAGGTGGCCCCTTTGGGGGAGATATGAAGGGAAGAACCTGTCGAAGTCCTTTTGCAGCCTCTTTTCTTGCACTGCTGTCTCTGAAGACTGGAGTTCTGTGGGACCAATGTAAAGGTATCAGAAGTCGCAGGAGTGAAAGGGTCAAGCAGAAGGCAGTTGGGTTAATAGTTCACGGTTTGTGCTACCTGCTGTAAATTCCTCTGGCCGTATTTGTACTACAGCTCTGACCGCGTAAGGACGTCTTTCAGTGTTTGCACATCTGGGGCACGTGGTCGGAGGCTGCAACCGGCTGATACGGGGTGGATTTCCTCTTCCACCCGCCCTCGGTCGTGTTACAAAACCGTGCTGTGCGTATTCAGAGGGGTACGAAACGCGGTTTGAACAGGACATACTTGCTGCCTCCTCTAGGATAACTTATCCTGGAAGTAAATGTCTTAAATATGGCTGGTACGTTTTCAAACATCGGTGGATGGTTAGCGTGACGCAGCGGCTCTGGTGTCGGAGTGCCTTGTTGACCTTTGGTGGAGGGAGGATTTTACTCGTAGCTCTCTTGGTTTTTACCGTCTCATTTGACTTTTGAAACTAAACCTCTCCTCAAATTCCACCCTGACACCTGCCCCAAAAATGAAGCCGCCCTAACCGAATCACCGCGATGCGGCACAAGCTCCAGAAAACCCAGCAAATCAAATTTGGCCGTGACGGTGTTCTTAGAGGACTTCTCCGACTCCCTCCTGCTCACCCCAGCTTTCCTGGGCACCTGAGGTTTCTTCTGGTTTCCAAGATTTTGGCACAGTGAGTGCACATCCCTCTACTCAAAGCCATCTGTTACTTTGCACCAGCTAAGCCAACTTAACCAGAAAAGAGTTTAAAACCATAATGAAGGTAATATATTTTTTGATTTTTATTTCTTTTATTGATAGCATTAGAAAAACTCTACGCTCAGCATAGAGGAGGAGGTGCTCTTAACTGGAACCGCCCAGGAACCGAGGCTGGCGTGTTAATAGCTATGCATATTTTCCAAGATTTTCATGCACTTTATACAGGGAAGGAGACTATTTAATGCAGGAACTGTAATTTGTAGCAAGTGTCTCATCTCCTGTGTCTACCTGGGTGGTGCAGGCTTGCTTTCTGTATCCCTGAACCGTGGATGGGTCTCGGATTCTGGGTGTAGACAATTGTGTTGGTGGGTAGGAAATGCGATGGTCCGCACCTGCGTCCGCAGCTCTGCAGGTCCCTCCTCCACAGGGGGTGCGGGGTTCTGAACCGTGGGGGTGTTTGCTCCGGGTCAGCCACGAGGATGCTTTTGGGAGGGACTTCTGGGGGTTTTTCTCAAACCAAGCCAAGACTTTTTCCTGTGTCACGTTCGGCGCTCTCATCGTGTTTTGATCTCTATGTCCAAAGTAATACCTTTTCAGTTCTAGGGCCTTGGCTCTTTGCTGTTGGATGATGTAGTTTAGTTGAGGAAAACTAACAGAAACGAGTTGTGCGTGGTAATACTGCCCAAGTCCCTAAGAAGACAGTTTTGTCAGTGGCTGAGGTGGAAACTCCCTGCTGCTGCCTGCGAGGTGGGATGTTCAGCACCTCTTTGCTCTCCCACAACCCCAGAAACCCCCCTCGTTCCTGCCTATCGGTCCTGAAAACCTGTACGAAACGAGCTTGGGTGTTGTACAGAGCTGTTTGTACGGCAGCAGAGCTGTTGAAGAGTTTTCTGTGTGGATGCTTGTGTTGTCCTTACGCGGGTACTGCCGGTTCTTTGCACAAGTTCAGTTTTCGCAGTGCCTTATCCCTGCGTCAGCAACTCATGCAGCGAGGGGCTGGATTTCGTACCGGCCCTGAGGCTGCCGAGCTGTCAGGAAAGGAGGCCGGGGATGATTGGTAAA